TACCCAGTGCTGTATAAATAAATAAATAAATCTTAAAAAAAAAATCCTGTAATTCTGGCTCTCAATGACACCGTCATCAGACAAAGGCTCGCACCCCAATCTGGGGCACAAAGAGGATAATCCAGGACGCCGAGGCCCCGGTCGGCCGTCATGGCAGCCTGCGCCGGGTGCTCGCGCCCCGGGGTGCCTGGGGAACAGGGGCCGCGGCTCGCCCGCGAACTCGGACACGGCAGCGTCCGGAGCCCAGACGGCCGCGGCCCCGCGTGCAGGGAGGCGCAGGGAGGCCGGCCTCGCGCGCTCGCCACCTAGCGGCCTCCCGCGGCACTGCGGCCTCTCCCGGCCGGGGCCCTGGGCGCCCGCGCGCTTCTCTGATCTGCAGGGTGCCTTGGAGATTTCGCAGTCTTCCCAACTTACAGCCCCGGGAACTAAGACCTACAAGACGAGAGGGGGGACAGAAGCCTCGGGCCCGAGGCGGCCTCATTTCTTCTTCTTGCAGCATGCACACCCTCACTGCACCACTCTACCCCGATGCTTCTTGTCTGCTCTCTGCAGGTTGAGACCCTGTCGCTGCCCCTAAGAGCTTCCTGAGAAGGAAGAAGTGAGAGCAGGAGGCTGGGTTATAGAAGGATGCTGCGTGGGCCGTACAGTGAAAAGTCAGAGGCGGCAGCCAGCCTTTCTGGGGCAGGGAAGACTCCCCTCAGGGGTGGTGATGGGAAGAGGAGCTTCTCCAGCAGGTAAGTCTGGGGCAGGCCCAGGCAAGGGACATTGGTGCCCAGGACAGACAGGCAGGGTGGGTCTGGCTGCCTTGCAGAGTTCAGGGTCACCAGAGCACAGAGTCAGCAGGTGGGGTGAGGGATAGACAGGAAGCAGCAGGCAGCTAAGTGAGCAGAGTGAGGGATCTCAGATGTCTGCAGAGGTGTTTAAACCAAATGTCACTGAGAATTTTCTTAAGAATGGAAGTAACATGAGCAGAGTTCTCCATTCACCTCCCACCATCGCCACTGCAGTCTCTTGCCAGACTCAGCGAACCTTTTTTTTTTTTGAAGATTCATTTATTTATGCATACAAGAGCTAGGGTACAGGCCAGAGGTGCGGGGGGTGGGGGGATTCACCAGAGACAGAGTGGGAAGCAGAACAGGCAGACTGACGAAATACACTGCTGAGGGGGGCAGCGGGCAAGTCAGGAGAGGACTGCAGCACCATGTGGGTTGCTCCCTGGCCATCTGGGGGTCAAACCACAGAGGCCGAGGATAGCTTCATAGTGCTGTGCTTAACCCCTTGTGCCACCAGGGAGGCCCTCAGCTCACCTCCTAACTGGTTCCCCTGCCTCGGCGCCCACCCCTTTGGCCAGACTTGCTGTTTGGTGCATTAACTGTCACCTGGGCAGGGGAGAATCAAAGGGCATCACGTAGATTACTGGGGGGGCCCACCAGGTGACGGCATTCTGCCTCCTCCTGATGACCAGGCGGGTCCCTACCCACTAGTGACCCTTCTTTCTACACCCCGGGCTCTGCACACAAGGCGACCCTGGGGCCCAGTGGCCTCAGTGACAGCTGCTTAGCAGGACAGTTGCTGGGTCCCATGGTGGAGATTCCCCCTTTGGGAAATGGGCCTTTCTTCCTGCAGTTCATCAGTGCAGATTTGGGGAACACAAACTCATAAATGGGGCTTGGAAATGAAGGTAAGTGGGGTTGCCCTTAAGCCTACCCCAGCCAGGACCCCTGACTCCTTTGGTTCCCCCCACCAGGGACATTGGTTCCAGCATATACAGGGCCCTGAAGACAGGTGCCGTGGCCTCACAAATGGCCATCTGGGCGGCAGCGAGTGCCAATGGCCTGGGCGTCTGGGCTCTCTCCGTCTCTCCTTGTCTCACGGGGCATTAGGGGGATACCGTGTGGGACGGTCACGTGGTCCGTGAGCATTTGCTGAGGCACCTGTGGACAGAAAGGTCAAACCCACAGCCCAAACGTGGTTCTCTTTCTGTCTGTCTGAACAAACTGACGGCCCCTGCGGATGGAAAGAATCTACCACTACCACTGTGCTGCCTCGGCCTGGACTCTCTCGGGGGGATGTGCTCCAGCGAGCCCAGTCTGGCCCCTCTTAGCAGGCACGGCATTTGGTGGTGGTGGCAGCAAGATCAACTTCGTTAAATGGGCTTCCCTGCTCCTGCGGCTGTTTTGTTCACAGTCTGTGGCGCCTGCCCCGAGGGGGTGTGCAGACTCTGGAGGGGGTGTCCCAGCAGGCAGGTTCACTGCCAGTCATGCCCCCTAAAACTACCCCACAGCCCCCTAGGCTGTGTCCTCCCTCATTCACCTGGAGGACTGCTCTCCCCAAGAGAATTCCCAGCGGTGGGATGAGTCCTTTCTCGAAGAGGGACCTGGGGACATTTCTCATAGTCACCACAGTGGAGGCAGGGAGGTTCCTGAGGTGGCAGAAGGCTCAGAGCACCAGGAATAGATTAACCTTGGACAAGAGGAGCGCGTGTCACTGAGATGGGGACTGGGAGGAGAAGGTGGGGTCAGATAAAGACAAGGGTTTCAGTAGCAGGACAAGGAGTTGGGGAAATTAAGCATCATCACTTTTTTTTTTTTTTTTTGGTACATTAGAAGCAGGGTCACCTGCTGAATGTGGGCTTCGGGAGGGTTAGGGTACAGGGAGAACACTGTGGCTGGCAATGTGAGGACTGAGCTGGTCCCCTTTGAAGTGGCTGCTTCCATGCCAAAACTTAAGGCAGGCCCTTGCCTTACAATGGGAAAAACCAGCTGTGGGGTTGACACCACAGGGTGTTAACTAGTGCTTTAATTCTCTGAGATCCTTTAGAGATAAACTTGCCATTTAAAAAACTGTGCTTTTTTCTAGAGGAACAAAGCATTGGAGGGTACAAAAGGGGCCCTGAAGTGTGGGGGAGAACCCTCCCCCACCACTGCATTAGTCCAGTTTATCAAAATGTCCATATGCAGATCGTGCTTTTAGTGTTTTATCTATGAAGTCTTCATTTAAAAGTTGCAAAAGTTTTCTCCTATCTTTTTCCTTGGATTAGGTTTAGGTCTACAGTGAGTTCATTTTTGTCTGTGGTGTCAGTTATGAATTGAGGTTCATCAGTCACAGGCTGTTGATGGAAATGTACATGGTACAATCACTGTGGAACAGTCTTAAAAAGTCACACAGTAGCATGGGATACACCCATTCTGTTCCCAGATATTTACACAAAATGAAAGCAAAATGTTCAGAGTAGCTTTATTGTAATATCCCCAAACTGGAAACAGCCCAAATAAACGTCTGTGAAGGCTTAAATAAAATTTACCCCTGTGAAGGGGTAAATAAATAGGGGTGCACCCACACAACTGAATACCACTCAGCAATAAAAGTGAGCTAACTGCCGATACCCGTAAACACCATGAGTCTCAATGTATTACACGTGAAGAGGCAGACACAAAAATTGTACATAGTGTATGTGTGATCCCATTTATATAAAACCCTAGAAGATGCAAACTAATTTGTAGTGGCAACAGGCAGACCAGTGGTGGCAGGAGGGACAAGGAGGATTACCAAGGGCTTGAGGAAATCTTGGGGTGGTGACCCTGTTCACTGTCTGGGTTCCAGAGATGATTACACGTGTGTCAAAATGTCAACTTCTAAAAAAAAAAAAAGTCAATTTCTATACTGCAAATACGTCCAGTTATTGCGTGTCAGCTCTACCTTAATAAAGTGTTAATATTGACCTGAATTAAAAAAAAGACAAAACATATAAGAAAAATTGACCTGAAAATTATATTATGGAAACAGACCCATAAAAATACACTGTTCAATTTCAATGTAATCAACTTAACCATATCAGAGATTGAAAAGGCAGGACTCTAATAGTTTTCACTTAAAACCCAACAGTTGTCGCGGAATCTGACCCCCAGGCCCTGCTTGCTTGCAGACAGACACTCTCTGACAGGTGGAAGGCTTACTTCAATTCTCAAGATGCCTCCAGTTAAAGGTCCCTCAGCAGGGACAATGAAGGCCACGATCCACCGCCCTCCCCCGCCAAGAGGTGCCTGTTCTGTGTCCCTTTTGCTGATGAGGAACCTGAGTCTCAGCTGGAAAGGTCAACCCGAGGCCCGACTCCTGCGGATTGCGCTGGGGGTGGGGTAGGGAGTCGGGGTCCAGGCAGGCCACCCCGCAGCCCCGCAGCCAAGGCCAGACTTCCTCGCTGCATGGCAGGTTCTGAGAGTTACTTCCAGGGCTTCCCGGAGCGCAGGCTGCAGGGAGCGGCCTGCTGGGGGCTGCTCCGGCGCTGGAGGAACTGATGAAAGGTGTGTGTGTCCAGCGACGAGTCTCGACTTGGGAAGATGCCGCACCTGCAGGTCAGAGCTACATGTCGGTAATAATCGGGGTGAAGGGGGGAGGGAACCGCGAGGGCGAGTCTGCCGGGCTCCGGGGACTCCCGAGGTCACTGCCGGACGCCAGCCTGGGCCCCGAGGCGGTGGTGGTGAGCGCGTCCTGCCTGCCTGCGGGCGAGAGCGAACAGGCCCGGCCTCAGGCCCCGCCCCTCATGGAAGGCCCCGCCCCATCATGCATCCGGCCCCGCCCCTCCTGACCAGGCCCCGCCCCATCCAGGTCCGCCCTGCCTTCTGGCCCCGCCCCTCCTGGCCAGGCCCCGCCCCGCCATGCCTCCGGCCCTGCCCCTCCTGGCCAGGCCCCGCCCCTCCAGGTCCGCCCTGCCTTCTGGCCCCGCCCCTCCTGGCCAGGCCCCGCCCCGCCATGCCTCCGGCCCAGCCCCTCCCCTCCAGGCCCCGTCCCTCAAGGGCCGCCCTGCCTTCTGGCCCCGCCCCTCCTGGCCAGGCCCCGCCTACTCCGGGTTAGACCCCGCTTCTCCCAGCTTGGCCCCGCCCCTTCAGGCCCCGCTCCGCTCCTCGGTCCCGCCCGCGCCCGGATCGAAAGCCGCGGCGCGATCGGCCTCTCGGCGCTCGCTTGCTCCGGCCTGGCCCGGCGCGGTTACGGCGCGGCGCGGGTCTTTGCGCGCGGGCCGGTCCCCCCGTGGAGCATGGAGGCGCCCGGGGCCGCCGCGGCTGGGGACGTCTCCCTGCACAACTTCAGCGCGAGGCTGTGGGAGCAGCTCGTCCACTTCCACGTCATGCGGCTGACGGACTCGCTCTTCCTGTGGGTGGGGGCCACGCCGCACCTGCGCAACCTCGCCGTGGCCATGTGCAACCGCTACGTGAGTGCCGCGGGCGGGCTGGGGCGCCGGGGGGGGCTCCCCAAGGGGGGCTGGGCGTGAGAGGGGAACGCGGGGTTCCCTGAGAGGGCCTGGGGGAGGTGGACGCGGGGGTCCCTGAGAGGGGCTGGGCGTGGAGGAGGGCCCCGGAGGGGCTGTGGTGCGATGGGGAAGGACTGTGTGGGGCGGGGGCTAAAGGGGCGGGAGGGAGGCATGGGGGCGTCAGTAGGGGGTGGGGGGCCTCTGGGCGGGATGGTGACTGTAGTGTCTGGGCGCTGGGCTAGGGCGGCTACTGGAAGGGGCCACAGGTGTGCCGGGTGCCCGCCTGGAGTCTGTGGCTTGCGGTCCCTGTTCTGCAGGTCTCTGGGTCCATGGCACCTTCGGGGCTCTCCAGAATAATTCCTGTGATAATAGGGAACTGGGGAGTAGATCTGGGCCGCAGCACCTGGAGGGGCGTGGTCAGGCAGGCCAGCCTTGGGTTCCTCGGGCAGGCCCCCTGGTAGCACTCCCCTCTCCCCCTGGGGCCCTCACTCCTCGCTGTCTCCAGCACCTCTGCTGGCTCCTGCTCTCCAGACTTTCTGTACGCTCCCCCACCCCCACCCCTTAGCTGCCCTGCCCTGCCTCTGCTGACACTTCTGTTCCCTGAACTTGCAACTCCTTCTCCACGTGGAAGTCAACAGGCCCACACGAGACTAATTCAAGACCTCACTCTCTTTCTAAGGCGAGTCTGGAGGTTGCTTAAGACCAGGATCCATCATGGTTGATTCCACACTCTGCCTAGTTTTGTTTTAGATATTTTAAATGCACCACTTTATCTTTTTCCTTACCATTCTATGCTTACTAGTTCCTACTCATGCTTTTTTGCTTGAAATCTATTAATACAACTTTATAAATTTTAAGAAAATAAAGTAGCATTTGCTCCATTTATTTTTCTTTTTGAAACAAAAATTTCCCGTTCTGATGTTTTACGAGTATCTCTGTTTCCTCCCCCATCCCGTGTGTCCCCTCTCCCTTTCTCCCTCCTTCCTCTTTAACTCCAAAGCCCTCACTGCCTTTAATAGTTTTTGTAAATATTTTACTTTATCGAATTGTCTGTAATATAAATGTGCAGTTTTGGGTTTTATCATTGTGACTTGCTTTACTGCATGTCATTCTTTGGACGCCTCCCATCTAGCTTACACGCTGCACTTCATCTTTCCTCCAGATTGAATATATTCCATAGTGTGTTGAAACCCAACTTTTGATTTCTTCCCTCAGACCCTTTCCCCCACAGCCGGCCCAGTCTCTGGTCACCCTTGATTCCTCTCTGCCCACTGTGTTCCACCAGCCAGTGTCAGCATGTCCGTGCCCAGGCGGCGCTGCTGTCAGTCACAGCACAGCGGGACTCCAGCTCTTCCTCCTCCTGCTCCAGGTCTCCCAGGGCCAGGTGGGAGCACTTCCTCCTCCTTGGCCATTCCCCATGCTCCCTGCATTTCCTGGAACTGCTCTACAGGATGGCACAAACAGGCTTAAGATAGATTTATTCTTGAAGTTCTGGGGGCCAGAAGCCTGAACTCAAGGTGTGGCCCCTTGGCTCCAGGGCTGGCACCTCTGCACCTCTTGAGAGCTCATCCCAGGCCCCCTCCTAGCCTCTGGTCTGTGCTGGCACCTCCATTACCTCAGTCTCTGCTCTGTGCATCTCCTCTTACAGGGGCACCCATCATAATAGATTTAGGTCTTCCCTAGCATGACCTCATCTTAACATACATCCAAAGTTTATCTGCACAAGACCCCTTTTCCAGATAAAATCACACTCACAGATGTTAGGGGTGAGGCTGGGGGTGTATTTTTTTGGAGGCTACACATTGCTGCCCAGCTCTCCATGGGACAACCAGCTGCCCTTAGAGACTGGCCGCCTTCTGCTCCAGACCCTTCAAGGGGTCAACTCAGAGCACAGACCCGAGACTTCCTGATGACCCCCAGGCCTATCACCTGGTAGGACTTTCTTGCTCCTTGGGCCCTGCCCGCTCACTGGCCTCTAGCTCACTGGCCGCGCTGCCATGCCAGTCACACCCCTCTCTAGGTCATTGTCAGTCTCCTCCCTGGTCTGGTGGGGGGGGGGTGTGGTAGTGGTGGTGAGGTCTGTGTTCTGTGCTTGGCAGCTGCTCATTTAATCTTTGTTGAATAAGTGGGCCGCCCTCTTCCTCCCCAGGACTCCAGTACCCTGCAGCCAGTCAGGAAGCAAGGACTGTAATAGAGGGGCTCCCCCCAGGGGTGGCGGGAAGCCAGTGAACCATCAGGTGGGACCTGACCTGGCTGATGCCTCAGGAAGGAGCTGGCCTCTGAGAGTGACTCCTGGTGTCCTCCAGCAGGGCCCCTCTCCTGCCTTCTCCCCTCTTCCTGGTCTTTTCCTGGGTAGGGTTTTTCTTTCCTTTCCTTTCTGGTGGGTGTCAGCAGGTGGGTCCCTACTTTCCAGGTATTTCCTTGGAGGTGGGGAAGGGAAAAGTCTTGGGTGGGGGAGGGGTGCCCTCAGCTGCCTTCTGTCCTATGAAGGTTCCTGTCCCCATGGGTGACACAGGCCACGGGCCGCTGCTTGGGTAACTTTCCACTTCTCCCGTGTGGCTCTGGCGGTTTGACCACTTGGTAGCTGTAGCCCCCAGAAGGCCGTATTTTCTTGACTGGAAGGTCACATGCCACCAAGGAACAGGAACAGGAAAAGGGGACAGTGTCAGTTGTCAGACCTGTGGGAAGTTGAGTCCCCCCCATGGCCACATCATGTGCCTGATGTGGCCCTCCGGGGACAGAGGACTGGGTTGGCTGGAGATGGAGGTGCAGGCCCTACAGCTTAAGGCAGGAAGCCCTGGATTCCTGCAGAATGGGCCGGGATGTCCGCGGTCATTGGAAGATTACGTCTAGATTTCATGAGATCCACATTTATTTTAGTCTTACTGCTTTTTGTCTGAAATGAGGATCGGTCAAGTGCTTTGAGAAGTTTTTATTTGTTATTCGGATGCTGATGGCTGGTGGCTAATAGGGTCCTTACTGACCCCGAGGAGTCCAGAAAACCTCCAAGGGAATGGAGCCCTGTGTTCTCTTGCTGGCCCAGATGAGGAGATCAAGCTGCCTGCCTGGACAACCTCCAGGGGAGGGAGCCCTGTGTTTTCTCACCAGTCTAGATGAGGTGATCAGACCACCTGCCTTTTCAGGCTCATGTGTCCTCCCAGGCCAGAGGGACTCAAAGTGCGGTCACCCGGAGCCGTGACTGGCTGCTGCTTGTCCTCCTTTGTGTCCTTACTGCTCATGATGTTGCCCTTCGCCCCGCAGTGGCGTTTCCCAGGCTAGCACAAGCTAATTCCAGCTTGTGAATTCCGTTCTGGAAGGCACCATGGCACCAGAGCCAGCCTCTCCGCCTGCCCCGCCCAGGCCCTCACGAGCCTGTGGTCAGCCTCCTGCTGGTCACTCTTGGTGAACGTGTCTGACTTCCCGGAGCTGCGCGCACAGGCTCAGGAGTTGGGCTGGCCGTTCTCTGGGGAAGTGCCTCACCTTCTTTGTTTTGCTTTCAGGACCCAATCCCAGTGTCCACCTCCCTCCTCGGCGACACGTCTGACACCACCTCCACCGGCCTTGCCCAACGCTTAGGTATGTATCCGGCCGGCCTGCCTTGTGGACCCACCAGAGAGAGCGAGCGAGCGAGCGAGCGAGCGGCTGGCTGTGCAGGGCACGCACAGACATCTGTGTGTGGGTCGCCCTAAGGGGGGAGTGTCATGCCCACCACTGTCTCAGGCAGCATGGTCCCAAGGGACCACTGTGTGGGGTGTCCAGGCTGCTGGTGATGGGAACTGCTCCTACCTGAGGGCCCGTTACCGCCCCAGGAGTGCATGACAGGAGTGCAGGTGGGGCCTGGCTGCCTCCATATGGCATTGTCAGAGCTTGGGGGAGAGTATGGTGCAGGGCGGGTACTGAGCGGGACACAGGCGGAGGCCCTGCCTCCATGCCAGCATGCTTCCTGTCAGCGCTCAGGGGCCAGGCAAAGGTGTCGGCCCTTGCATGTGAGGCTGGGCCGGCTCAGGGTGCCCAGAGACGCTGAGGGATGGGGAGTCCCTCTCCAGTCTTGGCTTTGGAGTCCCGACTGTGCTGGGGGTATATGGCCAGCAGCCTTGACCTTGAAGCACTCAGGTCAAGGTTGTGCTGACCATCCTGATCCCTTGTGCGTGGGTGCCTACCATGCTCATCCACAGCACTTTTCACTCAGCATTTTTCTCATGTGGTTTACACCCACTTATAATAACCCACAGTACACTGAAGCAGAACTGCTGTGAAGACAGATACCCCGGCCAGCTTATTAAGGTCGTATATTGAGGAAGGGCCTGCTCTGGCCTATGTGGGTACAAGCTGGCAGCGCTCGGCCCTTCCCGCCAAGGCAGGCACATGAGAGGCGAGTGCAGTGTCAGCAGTGTGCTGGGCGGGAACAGTGAGAGGCTGTCTGGCCCACCTGTGCCCTGGGGCCATTGCAAGCCTGGGGCTGGGCCTTGCAGTGCTAACCATGGCCAATGGTGAGACAGGGAGTGAGGGGAGAGAGGTGTCTCTTACAGAAGATGGAAGGAGGTTGGAGAAGGGGAGTTAGAGTTGCCCCAGAAGGCTTGGAGCATTTGGTGTGGGTGGGGTCCTCTTCGCTGCGCTCTTGCTCTGCTGGGCGGACGATGCCCACACAGTGTTTCTTCCTGTAAGGCGCCATCTTAGCAAGTAGAGCGGCTAAATTGATGTGACCACCCTTGGCACAGGGAATTTCCTGCTGCTGCAGAAGGGCAGGGGGAGTGGGGTGTCACGGGACAGACGCTGGCCTCCCCTCTGCTCACTGCGCCCCCTTTACTTAGGGTCACCGGCAGCGTGTTTGTGTGTGTGTGTGTGTGTGTGTGTGTGTCTGTCTGTCTGTCTGTCTGTGGTGGGGTCAGGGCTCTGGGGTGTAGGTGTCCCCCCTCTGCCCCGGGTGGGAAATTACCATAGATTCCTGGACATTGCCTCTTGCCTGCCAGCCTTTCTGGTTCAGGGGTCCCTGTTAGTGTGGCTGACGGGGGACTATATTTGAAGAGCTGTTCTTCAGAGGCCCCCAGATGGGCCCATGCACCCGCCATGAAGTTGGGACGGGGAGTTTGTCATCTCCCTGGAGCCGGGTGTCCCCATCGGGTGTGGGGCTGCAGTCACGTGTCTGCATTTGCTCCTTTCAGCCAGGAAGACCAACAAGCAGGTGTTCGTCAGCTACAACCTTCAGAACACAGACAGCACCTTCGCGCTGCTGGTGGAGAACAGGATCAAGGAGGAGATGGAGGCTTTCCCGGAGAAGTTCTAGCTGTGGGAGAAGCGGGGCATGTGGTCTATGTCCCACCTGCGTTTAAATAAACGGGTTGAATTTCACCATCAGCAGGTCAGTGTGTTCGCATTTTTTGTCTTTGGCGGGTTCATCTCACTTCCCCCCTCCCCCCGCAGCATGTGTGGTGGCCCCGGGACGGATGAGGGGCCGTGCTGTGCTTCCTCAGGGGCTGCTCAGAGCCACAGCGGGGCTCCCAGCAGGATGCAGTCAGGGGCGAATTTAATAACCCAGCAAAGGCTTCCATCAGCAGGACTGTGGTGTCCGTCCCGTGGCTGACCTCCCCTTGTGCACCAGGAGGGTGGTCGTGTGGGGCCCTCCCTGGGGTGTGAGCTCACCTCACTGTTGCTGTAGGATGAAATGCGCAGACAGGACTTGCAAACCCTCACTGCCCCGGGCAAGTGTCAGCTGTGGTTCTAGCAACTTTACTTCTGTGGCTCCAGGTGCTCGGGCTCCTCCCTGCTTCCCTGCAGTTCCTCCTCCCTCCTGCCAGGTCCCTGCTTTGCCCCGTCAGCCTCCGCCTCTCCGCGTGGTGAATTCAGCCTCTGGCACCGCATGCTTCCTTCCGATCCTTCCTCCCTTTTCCAGAGTTACTATTTCATGGGCCAGAGGCTGCTCATCCTGGAGCCTGACTTCTGTGGAGTTGCAAAGCTCCAGGTGCTGCTTAGCCCAGGCAAGGTTGAGGTGGGCTGGCAGCTCTTTGAGGGTCCACTTGGACCCCTTTTGTTACTAGCAGTGGATGGTCAGGAACCCGTCGCACGCTTTGTGCAGTGACAGAGTTCCGTTCAGGCCCGTGGGTGCCAGGGCTGGTGACACCCCAGTGGACCGGTGGTGGGGTCGGGGTTCAGGACATGCTCCTCCTCTGCAGACTGGCCCTGCTCCTCGCCGAGGCCTCACCAGCCTCGAGGTGGCGCGGAAAGCCCAGCGGGCGCTCTGCGGGAGAGTAAGTCACACAAAACCAGGGCTATGGAGAGAGGAGTTTGGTATAAATACTTTATTAAAGAAATAGTTTTTTTTTTTGTTAAAAAATACGACATTAGGATTTGGGGTACCAGTCTTTCCTCACAGAGTCACAGTGTAAGAGAATCAGTTCTCAACCTCTCTAGGGAGCAGCAGGCCCTGGGTCAGCAGGACGTCAGCGCACGGGAGAAAAGACTCCAAGATTGACCGCTGGCCCCTGTGTCTGGGTTCCGCCTGCCTTTAAGACTGGGACAGCCCGGGCAGAGAGAGGCCCCCCACTGTCCCCGGGAGAGCCAGCATCAGGCACAGGCGCTAAGGAGGGACGCAGTGAGATCTGGATAAACAGGTAGAGTTTTTATTACTTGTAGTCAATGGTCGTGAAATGCCCTTCGTTGGGTACCATCAGATGAGGTAGGGAAGACATTCCAGAGGAAATTTGTTAATGGGGCGACATTTTTATTTCTGTACATTTACATACAAATCTTCCCCGAAGGTACAACAGGTGTGACATCATGCAGACATTTAGCTTTGAACGACACTTGGGAGCTCGACTGAGGCTTGTGCTGTGAGCAAGCACCTCCAGGCCCCGCGGATGTGCACAGGACACAGCCCCGACACAAGAGACCACCGCTGGGGGCGCGGGAGGGACTGGGGTATCCCCCACTAGACAGGACACACAGTGCTGCTTTTCCAGAACACATATGAAAGCGGGGTGCCCTTGAGACAGGAAGCCTGGGCCTTCCCGGCACGCGCGCGGGGTGGGGCCGGGGTGATGCCACTGTCTGGTTTGGCTGTAGAAAGTGGCAGCGCTTCCTTCCCAAGGCGTATTTTTGCTGTCTCTGCTCTGTGGCCAAACCGACTCAGCAGCCCCCTTCCTCTCCTTTTGAGTGGTGACCCCCTTTGTAGAAAACAAAACCCTTAAGGACAGTTTCCTGTTTGTCTCCGGTGCTAATGTTTGGGGTTCCTTACAGACTTCTGGAAGAGAACAGAAGGAGGCCCCTCCCACCCTGTGTAGGGAATTCCCATTGTGCCTACAGTGCCACAGCTCCCCCCTACCCACACCGGAGCGGTGGCAGCACTTGGGAGTAGGGGTGGGGGTGGTTGGAGGGCAGATGTGGAATGGCAGGTGCCTGAGAAGTGCTCCCCAGAGCAGGAGGAAGCAGGGCTGAGCAGCCATGCAGCCTCCTCCCACCCAGAGTGAGGCAGGACTGGGTGGGGTCAGGCGGGCCGGCGCCCTTCTCACTGGTACGGGGCTTCAGGGGGCTCGGCCCACCGGGCAGCTTTACTGCTTTGGCTTCGTTTTGCAAAGGTGCTCCTCGGAGCGTCAGGTGACCTGCAGCTGAGCCGGTGCCACCACAGTTGCGCTCCTTATCCTGAGGCCGCTGGATGCCGGACGCCAGATGCCAGAACCAGGGCCCCCGGCCCAGGGATGCCTCCTACCAACCGCCAGCAAGTTGGCGTTGCCCATACCCGGGAGACTGGTTGAAGAGCCCGGCCCACCGTGGGCTCATCATGCGAGCTAGTCCCGCTCCTGGGGACGGCGCCGTCTGGACTGGCCCCGCATTTCTGTTGTCACTTAAGATGGAGACCAGAGGCCCTGGAGTGGGAGTCTCTCAGGGCTGCCCTTCTGCCCCTGGAGAGCTTGGTGGCCCGGGAAGCTTCAACATGTCCCCTAGAGTGTGTGGGACCACAAGCACTCACAGGCCTTAGGTGGTGTCAGGTTGGACACATACCCGGCCAGGTGTGTGCCCAGGGGCCTTGCTGGCTCCTCCCACCCCCACCCCCCTATGCCGGCAGGCCTGGCCTCTGCGTGTATCATGTCCTGGCCTTAGCGGGCCTGCTGCCAGGTGGCTTTGTGTAAGTACTCTAAAAAAGGCAAAAGGTAGTATTTCACAAGTTTGGCACGCAAAGGCTGCAGGGGCACAAAGAAAGGCCTTTCAAATGAAGGTGAATGCGGACTCACATGGAAACACAGAACAAAGGCGACTTAAAGACAACGGGGCAGCAAGGATGAGCAGGGAGCTGGGGAAGACTGGCCAGACAGCCCCCCCAGCAGCCCCGTCCTTGAACCAGGCTGTGGAGGCCCCCCACCCCCGCCAGTGCCACCAGCAGATACAGGCTGCGTGCGCCGGAGCCACCCCACCAGCGTTACCGTTGCTCAGCGGGCGCCTGCTGCTGTCCACTGGTTTCGGAGGAGAGAGGTGAGTGGCGAGGGTGAGGGACAGATGGGGGAGCTGGAGCGGGAGAGGGAAGTGAAGTTGACCCCACTCTGGCCCTTTGTTTCCTAGCGACCATTGGCTGGAAGAGACCAAATGGCTTCGCAGTGGTGAGAGGCCCCTGCTGAGGCAGACACGTGGCATGAGCGGGAGGTGGCGATTCTAGGAAGAGCCCAGGCCGTCCAAAATGCCAGGTGTCTGCACTGCTCCAAGGTGGCACCTGCCGGCTCCTGGAGGAGCCTCTGCCTTTCCTCTGGGCACCCCTTGGACAGGTGGACTGGCCTGACCCGGAGAGGTAAGAGGAAGGAAGCCTCTGTCGTCGTTGGGGCGCAGGAGCACAGCAAGCCCTTGGCGCCGGGGGGGTGGGCTGGACTTTGGTGGGTTATTGCTTCTCTCCATTTGTCTTGGTGCTTAAGAGACTGACGCCAGTGGACTCACCTGGAGACGCCACTCTTGCATGCGCCTCCCTGCGCGGGCAGGTGGCAGGCGCAAGGGGACAGCTCCTGCAGGTGGTCCGGGCTCTGAGCAGCGAGTTAGTGAGGGACAGTCATCCAGGCTGGTGATTTCTACATGGTGTGTGCTCAAGATGGGGGGGACGGGCCGTGTTTGAGAGCATCCCCTCTCTGGCGGGGTTGCCTTTGTTGTCTACGTCAGTAGTTCTAGTGGTTTTAGTTCAGAAAGTAGCCATGTTTTCAAGTAGTGCTGGAGCGAGCTCTGGGAGGGGATCGATGCGCAAGGGGCGCGTCTCCGATCCCCGGGTGTCTGCTAGTTGTGGCTGTGACTGTGGGAACAGCGGCCTTACTGCCAGAAGCACTGACGAAGCCTTTATGCTTTCCCCACAGAGCTTCCAGCCTCAAGTACAACAGGATGAGCATGAAGGAAAGACTAGGCTGGTCTGAAGGACACCCGCCAGCTGCTGTCCCCCGACACGGCACAGAAGCTCTCACCTGATGCGCCAGCTCCTGCGAGACCCAGACGCACCCCACCCCGGGAGCAGCCTGATGGCTCACATTCCAGCTGGCCTGAAACGCGGGGTGGCTGGTCACACAGGCAGCGGCCACGGAGGCGCCACCAGCCTCCTGGAGAGCTGGGCCAGAAGGGGCGCCCAGTGCTGGTCACACGCCACATCCTCCGAGGGCTACCACGTTCTTCCTTGTCAGGAGGTGGTTCTGTTTCGAAATCAGTGAGAGGAAAGGGAGTAAAGTGCTTCTCGTAAAAATGACCAAAATAAATACAAACATTTAATGGCAGAAAAGAAAGTCTTTGAGGGCTAATTCCAAAGACTTTGCTTCCTCAAACACATGATCCGCAGAGTTTTGGAAAGAGAGGATTCCCCACACCACTTGACAGTCTCACAATTTGGTGGCATCAGCAGCACAGGTGGGCGCCCCGCCCCAGCCACAGGAGGCCCCCCGCTGGCCTGGCCACCTGCCTGGAACTACATGGACTTCATGCCGTTGGCCGTGGCGCTCTCCGGCAGCCCGTCCCCGGGGGCGGCCGCGTCGTGCAGACCCGAGTAGTCCTTGAGCTCCGCGTTGGTGAGCAGCAGCGGCTGCTCCCCCTTCTTGTGGGGGAGGAGTGGCTGCCGCGTGTAGTGCTCCCCATTGGAGATGTTCTCTGGCAGGCTCTGGTTCCTGCTCTCGGGCAGCAGAAGGATGCAGATGATGCAGATGAGCGTGCAGCAGGCGAAGATGATGTGGTGCAGGAAGTAGCCCTTCTGGTTGTGCAGCTCAATGATGGGCGCCGTCAGCATGCCGAAGCCCGCGCTGGCCAGCACCAGCCCCAGCCCGCCGCACCTGCAGGGGCACAGCGCAGCTCAGCCCGCGCCCCACAGCCGCCCCGCCGCAGGGCTGCCAGCCCGCGCTCAGCTAGTCCTTTCCCTCTCACCTCGTGTTACTGAATTTATTTTGAAATTCAGGCCACTTCTGGTGCCTGGCAGCACCACAATACATAGACACGTTAACAGCTAAAGGAGCATGCTGAGAAGGACGGGGGTCTTTGACACCCCACTTCCAGCACGGACAGACCATCCAGCTGGAGAGTCGGCAAGGAAGCAGTGCCCTTAAATGACGGGTGAGATGGACTTCGCAGGTACTTAGCGCGCGACACCCGATTCCCCCCCAAAACCACAGAACTCACATTCTGTCCAAGTGCTGATGGAACGCACAAGGACGGACCACAAGTTGGCACACAAAACAGGTCCCCGTGACCTTCTGAGGACGGAAGTCACGGCACGCACCTTTTTAGATCATCATGGTATGAAACTAGAGATCAGCCAAGAGGGAAAACCACAAACCCGGAGCACCAGCCCCGTGCTGCGGAGCAGCTGGGAGGCCAACAAGGAGCGCAAGGTGAACTCAAAGCACAGCTGGAGGTGGGGCCTCCTGGTGGCGCAGGGGTTGACGTCTCAGTGCTACCAAGTGGCCTGAGTTTGAACCCCAGCCAGGGAGCTACCTCTCCTGACTCTGCTGCTCCCCTCAGCAGTGCGTTTCAGTCAGTCCACCTGTTCTGCTCCCCACTCTGTCTCTAGGAACCCTCTTCCCCACCTCCCCGCACCTTTGGCCTACACCCCAGTTCTTATAGGTATAAATTAAAAAAACTCTGGAGACAAGTGAACATGAAGACTCTCGGAACCTTTGGGAGGCAGCAGCAGCACTATTGGAGGGGAGCTCATAGCCGGCGCCGCTGTCTCTCAAGGAAGCAGGAAAAAAGCAAAACCAGAAAGTCAATCTAGAGATCAAAAAGATCAAAAAGAATTTAAAAATCACTGAAACCAACGCTGGTCCTTTGAGAAGGTGAACAAAATAGTCCAGAGCCCTTTACCCGGAGTCGCGCAGAGAAGGAAGAAAACCCGCTCACGGTGGAAGCTGGCGGAGGAGCGCCAGGACCCGCGGCCGCCCACGGACCACCTGGAGGACCAGGCCGAATCCCTGGGACCGTAATCCAAGGCTGAGTCAAGAGGGAATGGAAATCTGGGTCATAAAACTGAACTGAAAAACCTCAAGTCCGGGGACCAGATGGCTTCCCAAGGGGAGAGGCGCCCTCTTGCTCCCCTGCGGACTCCTCCAGCCCAGACAGGGTCACGGGAAGTACAGCCCAGAGGCCGGTGGAGAGCAGTGGGGGGAAGCAAGAACGGGGGGGGGGGGGGGGAAGGCAGCGAACACGCAAAACACCCAGGACATCCCCAGCCCGGACTCCAGCTCCCACCACAGCTGAGGCTTGGGGGCCTCTCCCCTCCCTGTGCCGGTGGCTCCCAGCTTCACAGAGCTCGTGGGGAGAGGGGTGGGGCAGGGCAGGAGGGTGGGATGGGGAAGGGTGGAGGGGGGAGAAAGGGGGATGGGAGGGAGGGGGTGAGGGGAGGGGTGGGATGGGGAGTGCAAAGAGGAGGAAGGGGCAGGGGGCAGGGGGAAGGGGTGAGGGGCAAGGGGGATGGGGGTGGGGGTAAGGGGAAAGGTGGGGAGAGGAGGGGTGGAAGGAAGGATGGGCATGGGGGTGGGGGGAAGGGGTGCGGGAAGATGAGGGGTGGGCTAATGGGGTGGGGGGAAGGTTGGGATAGGGAGGGATGGGGTGATGGGTAGGGGGATGAGGGAGAAGAGGGAGGAAGGTGAGGGTAAGGGTGATGGGAAGGGGAGGGAGGGTAGAGGTGGGGATTGGGATGGGGTGATAGGGTGGGGAAGGGGTGATGGGTTGGAGGGATGGGTGTATAGGGTGGGGGAAGGGGAGGAGGATAAGGGTGAAGGGTAGGGGGAAGGGGTGTAGGGTGGTGGGAAGGGAGATGGGGTGAGGGGATGGGGTGATAGGGTGGGGAAGGGAAGGTGGGATTGGAGGATGGGGTGAATAGGGGTGGGGAAGGGGAGGTGGGGTGGAGATGGTTGGGTGATAGTGGGTGGGGAAGGGGATGGTGGGGGGGGATGGGGTGATAGGGTGGGGAAGGGGAGGTGGGTAGATGGATGGGGATGGGTGATAGGGTGGGGGAAGGGGAGGTGTGGTGGAGGGATGGGGTGATAGGGTGGGGAAAGGGAGGGTGGGGTGGAGGGATGGGTGATAGGGGGGGGAAGGGGAGGTGGGTTAGAGGGATGGGTGATAGGGTGGGGGAAGGGAGGTGGGTGGAGGGATGGGGTGATAGGGTGGGGAAGGGGAGGTGATGTGGAGGGTGGAGGTGATGATAGGGTGGAAGGGGAGGTGGGTTAGAGGGATGGGGTGATAGGGGGAAGGGGTGATGGGGTGATAGGGTGGGGGAAGGAAGGTGGGGAGGTGGGATGGGTGAAGGTAGGGGGAAGGGGTAGAGGGATGGGGTGATAGGGTGGGAAAGGGGAGGTGGGGTAGAGGGATGGGGTGCTAGGGTGGGGAAGGGGTGATGGGTAGAGGGATGGGGTGCTAGGGGTGGGGGAAGGGGTGATGGGGTGATAGGGTGGGGAATGGAAGGTGGGGAGGTGGAAGGGGTGAAGGGTAGGGGGGAGGGTGGAGGATGGGGTGATAGGTGGGGAAGGGGAGGTGGGATGGGGTTTGGGTAGGGAAGGGGTGGTTGGGAGGGGGATGGATGGTGTGTGGTGGGTCAGGTAGGGGAGGGTTTAAGGGAGTGGGTGGGGGAAGTGAGGAAAGTGGTAGAGGGAAGGTGGCATGGAGGGGATATAATGGGGTTTGGGGAGGGGGGATGGGAGCAGGAATAGGGTGATGGGTAATGGGGAAGGGGTGGTGGGGGAGGGAAGCTGGTAAGGGAGGGGTGGGAGGGGGTTTCGGTGTTGGCGGTGGGGGGGGTGGAAGGGAGGTGGGAAGGGAGGGGGATCGAGGGGTGGGGGCAAGATGGGGCAGGTGGGATGGGAGGTAGCAGGAAGGGGTAGAGGCCAAGGGGCAGAGGTAGGGGTGGGGGAGGAGGGGAGAGATGGGGGTGATAGGGTAGGTGAGAAGTCGGGAAGGGGGCTGTTTGGAGGGCTGGGGAGAGGGGCTAGGGGAACAGCTTGCGGGGAGGGGAGAGTGGAAATGGGGGCAGGAGGAGAATGGGGTAGGGGAGACTGGGAGGCCGGAGGGGATCCTGAATCCTGTCAGGTGGCCTTCTACCCAGTAAAGCTGTGCACAGCACAGTCCCTGCCAGGGCCCCCGTTTAGTTTTGGGGGAGAAAATGAGCTGAACCTGAAATTTATATGAAAACGGTAAAGGACCCAGAAGGGATGAAACAAGGTTGAAGAATAACAGCTTGGGAACTTACCTTCCTGTCTTCAAACTCAGTGTGAAGTCCTGAGCTACCGACTGCAGGGCATTTGGGCGCGGCGCAGCCGTGGGGAGCAGGGCGCAGGCCCACACCCTGCCTCCTGGGCCCGCCGACCGGGCCCCTAGACCCCTAGCCCCTTACCCGGCAACACGGGCCCTTCTCACAGGAGTGGGCACCCAGGCGGTGCCGCCCTTCCGAGGGGGGGCTGGCTGGAGGTGCCTGGACAGTCAGCCTCCTGCTCCTGGGCCCTTGGCACTCAGAGGAAGGTCAGTGGGGTTCAGGGGAGTCTCCTGGTACCAGCCCCTTCCCAAGTGAAGGGCCCAGCCACCTGGGCCCTTCTTAGGACGCTACCTCTGCAGTGCAGCTCACCCACCTGCCGTCTTGCCCAGCTGAGTCGCAGGGGCCAGGCCCTTTCTAGAACACTAGCGGCACACGGTGCTCAGTGAGTACCGGGGGATGGCGGCTTTGGAGGCAGGAGGTCGGCTCACCCTCAGGACCAGGTCTGGTTAAGGGGGGGGGCACCCACCTGCTGCAAGGCCTGCGCGACGGGGCTACCTCTAAATGCGGATGAGCCAGCCAGTGTTTTGGGGGAGTTCTGCCACTGAGGGAACCCCAGGCTGGCACACGGACGCCAGCACACCAGCTGGTGACATGAGGTGTGTTAGATTCACCGCATGAGGCCCAGTGGCCACCACATGCTGACCACCTGCCTGTGTGGCCCCCGGGCCGTGCCCGCGGACCTGGGCCTGTTCCTGCCTCAGGGTGTAGGGAGACTCGAAACACAGCTGCCCCCTACTCCCCCCAAGCAATTTCGCTTTTTCTATCAGGACTCCCTGAAATTACCCGGGAGGATGAGCGCCTCAGGAGTTCTGTTTGGCTTAGTGTTTTCAGTTTTGGACCCCTCAGTGGAGAGAAGGGGTGGCTCCACGCTGGGGTTTAAGGCTCTGGCTGCAGGTCTCCCCCAAGTGCAAACGCTGGGCCTTTCCTGCGCGTTCCTAGGCCGCCACGAGGGGGCAGCAGGGGCCCGCGCGTGGGTACCCGGCTGGCGGATCCACGTCCTGCCTCCTGGTTCCAGCTCAGGATGCCCAGACATTGCGATACCTGCTGCCACCTTCAGTCACCGGCGACACCAGGGGCTCGGGGACAGAACCGCGGCACTGGCACGGCGCCTCCCAGTCACCTGCCAGACCCGCGGACAGCAGCGCACATTTAAATGCAAGAGACAAATCTCCCCTTTCCACGTCCGCTTTCCAATGGCTTAGTCTCCACCACACGCCTCTGCACTGGACGGGGAGGGCGGGCAACCCCTCAGTACCGGACTGAAGGAGCCGTGGCCTGGAGTGTGGGTGGCCCCCCCATCACAGCCCCACGCGTCCACCTGCATCGAGGGGCTCCCCCCACACGGCTAGCCTGGGTAAGGCCCCAACTCGACATTCCAGGGGTCTCCTGACACTGAGGCCGAACAGTCGTAAGGCAGGGCCTGGCCCAGTCTAGTCTGAGGGCCATGAGCCAAGGGCTGGCTCAAGGACCCGCCCATGGCCACATGGGGACTGTGGGTGCGTCCCACCTGGCTCACAGGCGGACACCCTGAGTCTCAGGCTCTAGGCCCCGCCGCTGTACCCCGGTGGCGGCCTGTCCTGCTGTTTTCATTCTAGCCCTTGGCTAGAATGTCCCTGGCTGCTGGTCACTCACTCACCATTTTTCATGGGCCTTGGATTTTCTTTCAAGAAATTTCACAAGATGTTAAACAGACTAGCGTGGCCTCTAGACGCCACACGACACAGGTCACGCCTGCCCCCATACCTGTCCCCGAGGCGGAGGGCATCGGGGCCCACTTCAGTCCAGAGGGAGAAGGCAGTCAGAGAAAGGCCTCCTAGAAGGCTCGTTCTAAGAAGTTTCTAGAAGAAGAGCGGGGCTGCTGGAGGTGGGGATGAGATGCCCACACAGGAGGACGAGCTCAGGAGAACAGGACCAAGAACCCAGTGCCCAAGCTCTGCAGGAGTCTGAGGAGGGACAGAAGCGGGTCACCTGTACTCAGTGCCCCTAGACTCCCCACATCTGGGGATGCACCGGGAGGCTGCTCAGGCTGTGGCTCCCCCCTGCCGCTTGCAGACACACACGGGGGAGAAAAGACCTGCCACCAAAAGCCACCCACTGCTTCTGGATCAAGCAGCGGCCACTCTGCCTGGGCCCAGGGAGACCAGCACTGCCGATGCCCAAATCTGAAAGATTCTAGACCCGATGAAGAGCTAGAACCTGCTGCGTGGCTGCGGGGGAGGAAGGACAGGGTCGGGAGGGAGCACGCCTCAGCAACTGGACTCTGGCCGACCAGCCAGCCCTCCAGAGAGTGTCCCGGGATGAAGGGCTTGTGCATGACTCTGGGGAAAGTCCCCTCCTATTTGCTTCCAGTCCTGGCACCCTGACCTCAGGCCTACTGTTCTCGTCCAGAAGATGGGATTGAACCAGGCGATTCAGGAAAAGGCTAGTTTGTACAGCGAGCGCGGCTCTCGGGCCCCCGCCGCCTGGCCTGCGACTGGTCTGCGTGAGTGTGTGTGTGTGGGTGCCCTCCTGGGGGCCCCGTGGGAACTGCTCTGCACGCCCATGTAAGATGGGGTGAGGCAGGCCTCACAGCGACTGACTCACTGGTGACCCCAGAAACACTTGCATCCTGGCCAGGACACCCCTTGGGCTACATTTCCTTTCATCCTCCATGAGCACAGGACACCACTGAGTGGCCAGTGTTTCCCTAGCCCGTCCGCTTGGCAGGCTGGATTCCAGAACACAGTCGCTGGCTTCTAGCCCGAAATAACCTCTCCAGGCTTGCATCAAAGGGGAAAGGATTCGGTGGTCCCCCTAAACCTCGGGGGCCCTGAGGCCCTCGGTGGTGCCAAAACTGTAGGCAGGACCACCCCCAGATACACAAGGCCGGGCCCAGCCTATAAGCGAGGCGCACTTGGAGAGGAACAGCCGCCACTAACACAACAGGACTGACAACACACCTGAGGGGCGCCTGAGTGTGTCTCTCCTCTCCAAATGGCTTCTCAAATTTTCGAGGCTCGCCACAGGTAACCGAAACGATGAGACCTTGGGTGAAGCGGGGGCTGACCACGTTGCCCCTAGTTCACTGGTCAAGCAAACCTATTAGGCGACTAGAACGTCTGTCCACCAACAACCGGCAGCCGAGGCCTCTGTGCAATCACAGGCGGCGAGGACGGCGGGCAAGCCCCAGGCCTCGTTGCTGCAACCACAGCTCTAGGACACAATCCTCTCTGCGGGGCTCGTGTGCAAAGGGGGGACGCGCCACTGGGTAAGGAGAAGCGGGGGACCGGCTCGGCCCGGGGCGCCCCGTGCCCTCCAGTGTGCCAGCCTGGGCTCACCACGGGCCGGAACGGCATGAATCACCTGCACTTAATTGCTCTTTTCTTAAATGGACAACTTGACATCCCCCGCCCGGGTGCGAGCAGCCTCCAGGCTTGGCGTGTGTTGTGCAGATCTTGGAGTGAATCAAAATGAGGTCATGTGAAAAGTCTCCCGTCAGCACGCCGAGGCGGGGAGGGCGGCCCAGCCCAGCCCACTGTCCGTCCCATCTGCGCCCCTGGCACGGCAGCCGCCCGCTCCTCTGGGATGGTCCAGCCTCCCCCCGCCCTCCTGGGAGGCTGGGGCCCGGCGCCCTCACGCTGACCTGCGCACCTCCCGGCCCAAAGCCTGCCTGTCCTCACATCTCTAAGTCAGACGCCAAGGGTGTTCCCGGAGGTGGCCAGAGCACTGGGCCTCATCCACCAGGACAGGCCCGGGCTGGGGCGCAGGCCCGAGCACACTGCGGGGCAGCCCCGGGGAAGAGCAGGCCTCCCTGGAACCGAAGCAGCATGAGGCAAGCGCGTGTGAGCCTCCCAGACAGGTGGGGGCTGGGGGTCGGCCGCCCCAACTCCTGCGCCCCCAGGGTGTCAGCCTCATCAGTGACAGAGCCTGCTGGGCGTCTCCCATCTCCCAGGCCTTTCGTCCCCCCAATAGCCAAGAGCCTTGACCAGGCCTTCTCTCTGGATTAGCGACATCCGCCTTCCAGGCCCGTAACAACCATGCAGCCCTTCTGGTTCACGCTCTTGTGAGATAGGTTTTCAGGGAGGCCCCTTAGAAACTGAAGTGGGAGCGTATGCAACATGAGTCACCTATTTCTCTCCCTTCCCAGTCACCCCTGAAAGGCTCCCTGCTCCCTGTTGCTGCAGCAGCTGCTGGGATGCTACCCAGGGACAAGTTCCCACCTGACTCAGCTGCCTGGGGTCAGGGCAAGGCTGCCTGCCTGGCCGCCCCTCACACAGGCCGCACCCTGGTCTGGGGGCCGGGGTGGCGCCTCGAGGGCCAGGCTGCTCCCACCGGCGTCCAGGAGGTGTCCCTGCTACGCACCTGATCACGGTGGGGGTGATCTCCGCGCAGAAGAACACGCTGAGGCTGCCCACCGCGTGGGAGGCGAACATGCCCACGATGGAAAACGTGATGGAGAACTTGTCCTTGACGCTGTCGCTCATGCCTGTGGGAGAAGCAGGGGCGTGAGGGTGCGGAGGTGGGCAGAGGAAGCTGGTCAGGCGGGGCAAGCAGAGGCAGAAGGGAGGCGGGCAGGCCACAGGCAGGGATTCCTTCTCCCCAACCCCCAGCCACGTTGGAGGCGCAGACCAGAGTGCTCGGTCCCCTGGGCACCCAGGGGCACCTCCAGGCTGGGGAGGGCAAAGCCCTCTTGGCGGGGGTTTGCTGGGGTTCCTGCAAGCCCCTGGTGAAGGAGACCCCCGGAGCTCAGGGTGACTCCTGAGAGCCAGGAGGGCCGGTGGCCCCTGGAACGGTAGCCACATGCCCCTGTGCCTGTCCCCGATGGGCCTCGCCCCCAGAGAGCCTGGCATCTGGCCTTGGGTGGCAGGCCTGATACACGGGACAGGGCCTCGGCTCAGGCTTGACGGCAGGGAACACACACTGCGATAACCCAACCAGAATGTGCGGGCCTGGAGGGACGGTGCTTGGCCATCTGGGCGTCCTGCATGGGCGCAAGAGTCCAGCCTCCACCACCGCTGCGCCCAGGCATGCAGCTGGGCTCACACATCTGGGCACGGCCCAGCCCCCACAAGGCTGAGTTCTCAAACTCGGGGCTCTCGGTGCAGGCAGCCAGGGTGGCACGGTGGGGTCCGGCCAGGCAGGGGTGACCAGCGGCCCAGGAAGCAGCACTGCCTCCCCAGGTCCCCGAGGGCGGCAAGCTCGGGGCTGCACAGCGGGATAGTATCGAGGCCAGCCTCCAGCACCCCCAGGGCTTGTGACCTCCCCAGCGGTTCCTCCTAGGACAAACGGCAGGGTCAAGGGGCCTGAAGGGGCCCCCAGGGCCAGGGGAAGAGGGGGGCATGCGTGCAAGCAGGGAGGGAGGCGCTCTTTCTAGAAGCAGGAGGGAGGAAAGAATACGAATATACGCTTATAGTGTCCAACCTACGGCCAACTTCAGCTGCAGCTCTGGAGGGCGGGGAGAGGAGGAGGAAAGGCAAACCACAGATGTGTGAGTCTTTCTGAAACGCCCGTCTGGCTGCAATAATCAGAGCCAAGCGCGGCAGGGCGCTGGGACTCACCTGAGTCTGGGTGCTGGCTGTATTTTCCGATCACTGGGCCCAGAAATAGCATGGCGTGGACAGGGACAAAGAAGGTGGGAAAAGAGGAAGGAAAACTCGTTAGGTAAGAAGTTTCTCCGCTGCGTTCTGTGTTTCTAAGGGGGCTGCCGGCCCCCAGGCCCCCGGGAGCTCCAGCTACACCCAAGGGTGCCAGCTGCTGGGACCTGCAGGCAGGGCGTCAAGTCAGTGCCTGAGGCTCTTTTTTCTGTCCAGAAGGGAGGGCATAAAACCACCCTGGCCTCTGAGACCAGGGAGAAAACCATCCATGAGAACAGACTCCGGGGAGTGTCCCCGAGCTCCAGCCTCAGGGTCCATTTCACGGTGCGGAGAAGTATTCCAGAGTCATCGCTGGTCTGGGCTCAAGGAAAACCCAGCAGGTGGGGGCTGCCTGGCCGGGAGGCATGTCTGGGCTCCAGTCTCTGGCCCTCACGGCTACCGGGCTGCGTGGAGTTCCTCTGGCCTCCATTCCCGGGGACAGAGGCCTCTGCGACGGCCGGAGGAGGGAAGCTCTCAGGAGGCTCCAGGAGGGGCCCCGGGCATCCCGTCCAGGGGTGGGCCGGTGGGGATGATGCTTAGCTGTTTCCTTATTCATCATGGCTGAAAATAAGACCAGGCTCCCAGCGAGACACTGGACGTGGGGGGACCTGACCAGGCTGCATTTCCCAAGCTGGAAGCGAGCAGTTCTGTGATCTGCCGGCACAGCAAGGCCAAGCGTCCAGCCGCGCTCTGCCCTCCTCTGCTGGATGCAGCTGCCCCGCCACCTTCTGTGGGGCAGCTGGACACGCCAGGTCAGTGCTGCCTGGGAGGGCCGGGCGGTGGGATCTGTCCCCTGGAGGACCCGCCGCTCATCCCCAGCTCACGTGTTGGGGGGATGGAGACGCCTTTTCCACACGGGTATCTGCTCACGAGCAGCGGTGTTGGGCTGCATCCTGCTGGAGGATTTGCGCGCTTTCCTTTCAATTATTCGTTAAGATTCACTGAGAAGTTCTGTGGCCCAAAGAGAAGCTGATGAACTTGGGGATGTCTCCTGAGTGGCGGTGACCCAAAGCCAGGCTGCAAGACGGGGTGATGTCCCCTGGAGTCCCGCCTGAAATGAGTAAGCCCATCTTCCGCGTCACGTGACATCCGGCGAAGAAACAGTCTGATGGTCAGCGAACTCATGTCCCCCGGGAGGCTGCGGGCCTCGTGGGCAGGGAGCGGGCAGCCCAGCCCAGCGCCCAGCCCCGGGGCTGGCCATGGAGGTGGCGGGACACAGCGTGTGCTTTCCCAGTTTCCTCAAGCTGTTGATCTTGGAAGAGCAGCTCAGGTCTCTTGAATCCTTTCCACAGTCTCCAGCTGCCCTTTTGCATGTCCTTTGGCTCCGCCCACCTGCCCCTCCCTCTGGGCCCTGCCCCCCCAGGCCCCGCCCCACTCACGGTTGAGGAGCCCCAGCTGCAGGAGGGAGGCCAGGGCCGTGAGGATCATGAAGAGCAGCAGGCCTCCCCTGCGGCCCAGGAAGCGGACCACCACGCACATGGCCAGGCAGGACGCCAGGGCGATGCTGGCCACGGTGTAGTAGTCGGCGTAGAAGTTCTCCAGCAGCGGCACCTTCACCTCGTGGCCCATCATGCTGCGGGCGAAGCAGTGGTGGATGCCGTAGCCCGTCAGCCTGCGGGAGACACACAGGGGGCGTCGGGGGGCAGCCACCTGCAGGGAGGCCCCGTGGCCGGTGTCCAGGAAACGCGCAAGACAAAGTGAAGGCGGGAAAGTGACAGGTGGTGTCCCCTCAAGGTGCACAAGCCCCCCCCTGCCGTGACTCCCCTAGACGGATGATGGTGTGAGCAGGAGGGAGGGGCACAGAGACACCACCCCCAGGCGTCCAACGGGAGGTGGGGGGGGGAGGGGGAGGGGGTCCTCCTCCCACTGGCTGAGCTTGCTCGGGGCTACCAGGTGGCCCGGTGACACCAGGTCACACCGCGACCCAAGTCTCCACCTCTTCCTCAACATCCAGGGGTCTGGCAACTTGGGGTTCCATGCCTAGAACAACCCACACACCCCGAGATAGCCAGGGGGCAATCAGGCCCAATAAAGATGTGGACTCAGAGACTTGGTTTCCATTTTCATTTACCTGTTTCCTCCCCTCAGCCCGGACAGCTCTCCCGCTGCCCCACGGGCTCACCTGAGCCTGCGGGAAACGCGTGTCCCTGTCACTGCAGGCAGGTGCGCACGCCGGCAAGAGCGGGGTGTGTCTGTGTGCCCAGGAGGCTGAGGAGGCGCCAGGGCTTCAGTGGGCCCTTTTGGACTGGACTTTGAGGGACGCCACCTGCCGTGAGCTCCTGCCTCAGGCTGGCGCTCAGCATCCATCCCAGAGCCACGAGTTCTCCTCTAGCCCTGAAAATCCCTTTCTCCCAAGTGCCCCCCCTCAAGGGCTTTGGGATCCCTAAGTGCTTGTGCAGACCTGGAGGATGCATCAGGTCCAGTGCAGCCGCCCTGCCCCAGGAGGACGCATCCTGGCAGGACACGTGCTTCTCCCCCGGGACGCTCAGCACAGCCGGGTCCCCGGGCGGTGGTTTTATAATTAGCGCTGCTGGAGCGCCTAGACGCCGGGCCCCTGGGGACGCTCCTTCCTGGTGCGCTGAGGTCCCAGGGAAGCCTTCCGCCCTCCTGCTCCGCTGGAAGCCAGTCCCGTGGCCTCCGCCGTGACCCTCCTCCCCACCCTGAGTTCCGGGACTCACGAGTTCACACACAGGACCACGATGTTCTTCCACAGGTTCCGGGTCCCCACCACCTTCACGATGCACACCTTCTTGGGCCTGCGCGACAGCTCCTTCTCCAGCTCTGCAGAGGAAGGGAGCCCCAGCCTCAGCAAGACCCCGGGGCTCGGCGCTTGTCAGGAAAAGGGACATTTTTGTCTTGTCTTTTCTGTTAAGCCAGGGCCAGGAGTTGGCTTTGAGATTAGAAAATGCGTTTCCAGAGACTCCAACTTGGCAGCTCGGATTTCCCCGTGGGACCTGGGCAGAGCCGAGGGACCCTGCTACACTCTTCTCCCTCCAGGAGCATTTCCTGAGACTGGAACCCAGTGGGACACACGGGCAAGGCTGAGTGTGGCGCGTCCGCTCGGCCTGATGCTGGACAAACACAGACAAGTGGTTCTTTTCCTTAAAGAGTCTCTCTGGGCTGCACCCCTGGCTCAGACACACCCGCTTCTGGACTGTCCCCAGAGAACCCACTTTTCCGCAAGAGAAATGACTGTGCACATGGCATGTGTGCACACACACGCACACATGCACACACACACATGCACACCACCTGCAGGTGTGGATCAGCTAGTGGTCTGAAGCCTTTAGGAGCTGGACAAACCAGGTTTTGGCCAAAGTGAGCCAACCACAGTTACAAGAAAGAGTTTCCCTGAGGCTCAACCAGCTCAGAAGGCCAATGGAACAGGCTCTTGTGGTTCTGTACAGGGTGCTCCCCAGGAAAGGGGGAGGTTCCAGGTTCCCTGCCCCACCCAAGGGAGGGTGGAGCTGAGCAGGGTGGAGAAGAGGCTGGAGAGGAGACTGAGGAAGGAAGGAAGCAGGATGGGGAGCCAGAAGGAGACCTGGAGGAGGCACATGGAGCAGAGACATGTGAAGAAGCTGCACTTAATTCTTGGTCCTGAACTGGGTGAAACAGACAAGGGTGAGAGACCCGTGGCAGCTTTTATCTTGGTTTTGATTTTGCTTTTTTTCCTCCCAGACTTGTCTGTTTCTGACCCTTTTCTGTGGGTCCCCGCTGGAAGGTGCCTTAGACTTGTAGCAGGCTTTGGGGCCTTGCTCTGGGCCAATCCCATTTGGGTGGACATTCACCCACGAGGGGAAGGGTAAATTTGGGTGCTTGATTTGGAAACTATATTCTTTGTCTTCTCTATATTATACACTAATTGTCTTAAACTTTCTTTCCATTAAAGGTCTGTATGTTTTGTCTTGATGAGGCAGATGGCAGAACCTATTTAGAATAGGCAGATTTGAGGGTTTTGGGGCGCCCCTCTCCCTGGCCTGTAACAGTCCCACTGCCAGGCTAACTGGGCAAGGGGCTCACTGAGGCCCTGGGCCTGGCCATTTCACAGGGCAAACCAAGTCAGCACCTGGCCGCAGGACCTCCAAACGGTCTGTGCACAGAAATCAGTGTCCTGGCCCCATCCTGCTCTCCCAGTCAGGTCTGTCCTGGGGGTCATTCCTTACTGGAGCTACAAAGAGCAGACCTGACAGACCAGGTGGAGGCCAGTGCACCTCAAGGCCAGGGATGCGAGGAAAAGCTGAGAAGCTGTCACAGGGCGGCAGGGATGGGGAGGCAGAGGGCTGGCTGCTGCCCCGGGGAGCCAGCGGGGACAGAGATCACCAGCAGGCAGACAGGTGAATCTAGGCAGAGGCTGAGGAGACGGGGTATTAGCCGTGTACCAGACGCAGGTTTCAGGGTGATGGGTGGGCCCTGCCTTTAACTGTGGGAAGCCTGAATAATCAGAAATTCAGTACTATCCTTGCAACTTTTCTGTAAACTTAAATTGTTGCAAAATAAGCTCACTGACAATTTAAACAGAGGTGGGGGTGGAAGACCTCACTCTTCTGAAGGAGTCCTTGGTGCTCGGATGGAGATGATGGCCTGGGGGACAGGAGCAGCCCTTTTTGCTTGTTAGGGCCACCCCTGGGTGTCCCAAGGTGGACTCTCTTCTTTGCTTCCTCTCCTGCCATGGAGGGAAGTCACAAACCTCATTAGTAAGAGTTTGAACCATAGGGTTTGGGAGAGTCTATTAAAAAAATATGGGGGGAGTGTCAGTGTCAACATTTGGGGCAGAGAAGGGAGAAGGAAACCCTTTTTCCCTGTCTAAGGGGTACCTGAGTTTCCAGAAATTTCTTCCCATACAGAGGTCTATGCCCAAGTGTCTGGTGGGCACTTTCAGTCTATTCTCTGCCCCTCTTGGCATCCAAGCCTTCCTGACCTGTATTTCCCCCTCTGCAAAGCCAGGCTGATTTGATGGGTAGCATCCTGTAGGGCAAGTGAAAAAGTATCAGACTTTTCTGCTGTCCCGCCATTAGCATTAGTGATGGATCCCTGTGGTCCTACACGCATGCCTGATGGTGGGCACCTGGGGTAGGGTGTGGGCATGCGTAGGTGAGTGCACCTGGGCTGAGACTGGCTTATAATGCGGCGTCACGGGGACGCCAGCAGTAATAGAAGAACCCAGCAGCAGAACGAGAGCAGAGCCGGCAGAGGAGCAGAGACCCCGAGAGAACGCCAGAATGCCCAGGAGAAGTGAAGACTCGCTGGGGGCTGGAAGGCTGGCAGGCCCCACAGCCCGCTGTGTACCTGGTAAAAGCTCAATAAAGGCCTGAAAAAGCCACCGAGGGCTCCAGGACCCTCCTTTACCCGTCTGCTCGGGTCATAGGGATCCTGCTCTGTGCCCATCCTGCCACTACAGTTGGTGTAAGTCAGCAGGATGATTCCATGCAGACGGGTATGGAGCCTCTGAAGACCTCAGGAGGGACCGAGGAGGGGCACACTGTGAGCCTGTGACAGCGCTGGACGAGCCATGGCAGCACAGGCGGTGACCAGAGTCCGGAGCTGTGGGAAGAGCTGAAGACGCTGCAGGAGCACAGGAGGGGGACAAGGTCAGGGAGCTGCAGGACGAGACCTCGAGTGGAGGAGGAGACAGCCCTGGAGGACCGGCCCACCACCCCTGAGGCAGCAGAATCATCGGGGAAGAAAGGGCCACGATTCGGAGCTCACCCAGTACTGATGCCAGGGAGAGGCCGATGGAGTTGGACTGACAATCCCGCCAGAAGGTGGAGGAACCTTGGCAGGTTGAGGTTATGTTTTGGGGACTCTGGGGGAGGATGGTGTTGTTTGTACAGCCCAGGGGATGAAAATCAAGGCATGGGAATTTGGGCCTCGGTGGCCAAAGGCAGCCCGCGCACTGCCCGGCACTCCTAGGGCCACAGCCCAGAGAGGCAATGGCCAGAGGAGAGGAAGGGGCGGGCGTGACAAGAGCCCAAGAGGCTGAGGGAGGAAGCCCTCGCCAAGTTGTCTGCAGCCAGGCAGAGGAGATGTATCGAAAAGCCAACTTAGAAAGGCAAAAGCTGGTGCTGAGATTGGGAAGCCCTGAGCAGCTGTTATGCACTAAGTAAGCTCAAGAAGGCCAGTGAGTCTCTTAAAATCACCTGTGGGTGATGCCCTGCTCACGGCTGAGTGAGGGTGACGAGCTGAGGAGCCCGTCCTTGGGCGACGTGGCTTGTGGTGGAGCCCACAGCCGAAGAGGGGACCCAAGAGAGGCCGCATGTGGAGCTTGTATCCATGGATCCCCGACCCATGTGCTTGTGCAATGAGCACAGGGGTCTGCGTGTCACACTGGCGGCTATGACAGCCCAGTGTTGGAGCGACCGCAGACAGAAACCCTGAGGATTGGGTGATTACCCCCAAAGAGTACAGAATCCCCAATCCAGGAGTGAGTGCATCCTGGGGGTGGATGCGGTGTGTGGCTTGTGGCCGAGACCACAGCCGGAGAAGGCCAGGAAGCCTGACGGTTCCTGGCGTGTGACGGCAGATGCCTGAGTGGTTCCCCCCTCGCATGAGCTGTGCCTTCGGCAGCAGAAGTGGTGGCGCATCTGCTGGTGCCAATAACTTTGTCTTTTGCCACTAGGTTGGTGCCCTGCCTGGACTTATGTGTGTTCTGTTGTCTTTTGTTTCATTGCTATATTCATTTGTATTCTGTTTACTTTTGTAGGTCATGGCTGCAGTGTTCATAATTCACCGAGAGAAACTTGTATATAACTTGTATATAGGTTGTATGGCGGGAAACCCTGAGGGGGTGGATTGTAGGGTAAGTGAAAAAGTATCAGTTTTTTTTCGCCCTCCCGCCATTAGGATTAATGATGGATCCCTGCGGTCCTGCATGCATGCCTGATGGCGGGCACCTGGCGTGGGGTGTGGGCATGCATAGGTGGGCACACCTGGGCTAATAAGGGTGGCGTCCTGGGGATGCCAGCAGAACCAGAAGAGAGCAGAACAGCAGGCAGCAAAGAACAGAGCAGAGAATGAGAAAGAGAAAGAGCAACGGAATGAGAGAACACTCGAGAGCCCAGAAACAGTGAAGATTTGCAGGGGGCTGGGAGGCTTGCCAGCCTCCCCCCACGCCCGCACCCCTGCCTGCTGTGTACTTGGCAAAAGCTCAATACAGCCTGAGAAAGCCACCGAGGGCTCCAGCACTCTCCTTTACCCATCTGCTCCTGCTCCGTCCCTTCCTGGCACTACACATCCTTTCCCATGGTCAAAAACCAACAAAAGAGCATGGAAGTACCACGGTGACCAACACAGATCTATCGCTGTGCATGTTACTAGGAATCACCTAGAGCAGCCACCCCTGCCTGCCCACCCGCGGCCCCAGGAGGAAACGTGTCTATGAGAGATGTTACAGAAGCTTAAAGGGTTTTTTGGTCATGTGGCCCACGGCGGCCTCCGAATCCATGCTTGCCTATGAAACAGATGTTAAAGGAGTTGGCACAAGTGCAACGCGACCGGGAGATTTTCTCCAGTGTTACTCTCGAGCCCGAGGTCTGAAGGCCTGAGGATGATTCTGAAAGGGCCGGGCTGGGGGGCTGGGGGGCTTGGTCACTTGGTCACTGTAGGGTAAGTGAATTGCTCAGGCTTTTACGCCTCTGGCTTCTGAGGCCATCGCCTATGGCCTTGAGTGCAGAGGAGCTTGGGAGCTGGGCTGGGGAGCGCATGCCTGAGGGTGGACACCTGGGGTGCATGTGGGCAGTGTGAGTGGGTGCCCTGAGCCTGGAGGCAAAGCTACAAGGGCGGCTCATGCAGAGACAGGAAGGATGGTTATGGAGGAACGGCTATACGGAGGGGGCCTGAGGGAGCCCAGAGAGAAAGAGTAAAGATTCGCCAGGGGCTGGGAGGCCCCCACCAGCCTCCTGGCTCCCCAGGCCTCCTGGCCTTGCAGACTGTGGGCTTGCCCCACAGCAAGGGCATTAAAGCCTGAAAAAGCCACCGAGGGCTCCAGGACGCTCCTTTATCCATCTGCCCAAATCGATAGAGAACCCACCAGCCTGTCAGCCTGGGCCTGGACGCCACCAGCTCTGGGTGAGATGCTGGCATGACTTGCAGGACACCCCAGGGGAGCTGAATGGGGGGGGTCCCTTCCTGAGCGCTGGTTCTGGGGCAGCACTCGCAGGCACCTTCTCTGGACCCTGCTCGTGGAGTGCCACGTGTAACAGGGCAGGGAGCTCATGAGCCATGAGCTGTGGGATGCAGCTGTCAGAAGCGCCCCCCAATCTCTCCCCCCAGACCCTCCAGTGCTCTGGGATTTCCAACAAATGCCACACCAAAGCCCCAGGAGGGCCACTGGGTTCTGATAGCCCAGGCAGCTCCTGTGCCCCCTGCAGCCCCGTCCCTGCTCCCTGGAAGTTCAGTCCCTCTCTGAGGTCACAGCTGGAGGACACAGTGTGGCGGGGACACCCTGTTTCACGCTGGGGCGCAGCAACGGGTCCAACAGAGCTGGCAGGCGACAGTTTTCATCATTTTCTTTACATCCCTGCGAGAGCTGCTCTGTGCCTCAGTTTCCCATCTGTTCCTGGGACAGTACTGTTCCCCTCCTGCCATGTGGGGTCTTCATGCATTTGGCATGGGCCGGGGACCCAGAGGCTCCTGTGAGCTCTGTTCTGTGCCTATTTTGGAGTTACAGGGATCTCTGGGTAAAGTCACCCAAGGTCGTGACCTCTCCCCCAACCTCCTCCTGGGGCACCAGAAGAGACATAAACAGCAGAGAAGCTCATGAGCAAAGAATGGGGAAGGAAAGATATAATACCACTTTCCAAAAATAGGAAGGAAATGAATCAGTATAATTTGGATTGTGAAAACTTTCTTTCTCAGAAATATTTTACTTCGAAAGAAGTGGAGTATGGTGATTTAATTAGGGAAATGCCAGGAGCAAATTATCTGGTAAGACTTACGAGCATCAGCCTGCCAGTGTAGGGGCCCTGGAGAAGTTGGGGACAAGGCTGGAGAGTCCCAGGTGAGAAGCAGGGCCCAGAGGGCCAGTGCCTCCAACATGCCGCGCTCCCCACCCAGCCGCAGCGTCTCTCCCTGGGCTCCCCCGACTGCTGGGCTCGAGTCCCAGATCAGGTCCTCACTAGCTGTGTGACCCCCATCAAGCCACTTAGCCTCTCTAGGCCTCTGCTTCCTGGTCTGCAAATGGAGATAATTCTAGCACCTCTCTCACCGGACCGTCATGAAGATATTAACACGTGGAAAGCGCTGAGGATTACCTGTTAAATACAGGTGACCATTTGCAAATCACAGGGATGGACATACATGCACTAGGTCTCACTTGTCGTCACCCCCACTGGGCACAGAGGGACGGTGATGCCCCCTTGCACAGCGCCCGCCACTCTGGCCACTCTGGCTGCCTGGACTCTGCCCGAGTGAAGGTGCACAGGTGGCCCTGCTGGCGGGGGTGCCGGCCCAGCAACAGGCTCTGAGCTCCCACAGACACGAACCCCAGGTCCCCCGAGGCAGGAGCCCATGAGAGTCTGCTGGGGTAGCTCGCAGGAGGCAGTTCCTGTTTCAGTTTCCTGCATGTCTCTGGCCTGTGCTGGATGCAGGCCCGCAGGGCACACCCCTGTTCCCTGTCATGTGGGCACCAGGAGCCCCCTCCACTACCCTGCAGAGTCTTCTTACATTATGCCTCCTGAGGTCTTCATCACACACACACAGCCTTCCCGCCTGCCCGCCAGCCCATGAGAGCAAGGCTTTGTCCATTTTCTTTTCTGTTCTAGAAAGGCTCCCGGCAGGTGCAGGGGGCTAGAACCTGTCTGTCAGGCAGAGTTCCAGACCCTGGGGGAATGCGCTCCACACAGCCCTCCACACAGCCTAAAGAGGCTGCCTGGGGACTTTGGACCGAGAGCCCCGCCTGCCCTGGCCCCTGGGTCGCCTGCGGCAGGTCAGCAATGCCCTCCAGGCTTGTTACAGACGCAAGCTCTCAGGGCTGGCCCCAAATCAACCCGGTCAGAACCTGTAGGTGCCTCCAGGAGGGGCCCAGGAGTCTGGATTTTCACAAACTCCTAGTGATACTTCTGGGTCACCAGCCTCAGAGCCCCTTAGCTTGTAGCACTACTCCTGACACCCACAAATTATAGAGGCCTGAACCCCCACACACATCACTTTCCCACCAGTTATCCAACAATACACTGCAGCAGGAAGAGGCGAGAGGGCTCTCTGAAGCTGTGCTGGGCAAAGAAGGGGTGGCCAAGGCTAGCTGCACCCCAAGAAGGACTTCAGCAGGCAACCAGACATGGGGTTTGTGCTCCCCTGAATCTTTCTGGGCCATGAGGCTTGTTTAGGTTCAGGCCTCAATTGTGGACAGGCTGTGTGGACCCCAGGGCACATCGGATCATCGGTCCACACTGAGGAGGTGGCGTGATTCCAGTGCACTCACGTCCCCATTCTAGACCCCACTCCCCCCAAGGCTCTAGGCCAGCTCTGTGGACGCTGGCCCAGGCCAGGTGGCGCTTCTGGGTGGAAGGGACAGGTACCCACCTGGCAGGATGCCTTTGATGTCACTCTCCGGACTCATGCAGTTCTTCTTCGTGAAGTACAGGATCAGCTTCTTGGCTGGCTCAAACTGCTGGGTCGCCATCAGCCATCGGAGGGACTCTGGGAAGATCCTGTCAAGACAGGGTTGTGGGTTTGGTGGTGTGTGTCTCCAGGAGACAACCCGCAAGCCGGGCACTCTCGGGGCTCAGCCCCAGGGGGGCCCCCAGAGCCCTTGCCTGTTAAGAGTTCCCTATACCAGGTTTTGCAACCACAGAGCCCAGCCCACTAGCACAATGTATGAAATTCACAAAAGATAGTCAAATAAGGAAAAACAAGGCTCTAATTGAATTAAATGCCAGTTGGGGAATATTTTAAGTTTCTGGCTTGAAGCTCTTACAAAAAGGTGGGCTTAGCGCTTTCCCTGGGGTTTTTCAAAAACTTTCCTTCTGTTTGGTGTAAAAAGAAGTAGGTTCAGTTCCTGGTATAGCCAGTGGATGTGAGTTGGCTATAAGAAGAAAATTTAACTTCATGATTTGAATTAAACTTAGTAATTTAAGGAGAGAGGACAAATATTATCAAATCCAATCAAAGTCGGCTTTTTAGATGGTGAAACCTCAAGGTTTTTTCTAAAGGCAAGTGAACTCTGCAGAACAAGGGATTCTTTTTTATTTTTTATAAGATTTATTTATGCATACAAGAGCTGGGGTACAGGCCAGAGGTGCGGGGGTGAGAGGATTCACCAGAGACAGAGTAGGGAGCAGAACAGGCAGACTGACAAAATACATTGCGGAGAGGAGCAGTGGGTGAGACAGGAGAGGTCTGCTGCACCATGTGGGTAGCTCCCTGGCTGGGGATCAACTCTTGCTGCAGAGGCTGCGGACAGCTTCACAGTGCTGAGACTTAACCCCTTGTGCCACCAGGGAGGCCCAGAACAAGGGATTCTTTCATACTTTAAGTGCCCATGCCACTGATTTATCTGTCACGTAAACTCAGATCTTGGGATGTCTGCTGTTTTCCAAAATGCTCTGCGCCTCAGCCCTGAAACTCTTTACTATGGAAGAAGTACGGAGGGTGTAAACCAGAAGCCCTGGGCTCACACAGCAGCTGTGAGGCCTCAGCCAAGGCTCCTAACTTCTCCAGGCCTCAGTCTCCCCACATCTGTCAACAGCATGGGGTGGGGTATGAATGACGCCTTGATCTAACATTCTCTATCTGATTTATTTCAGGGGCTCATGGGGATGGCACCTCCTTCTGAAGGATAAAGAGAAGGCCATTGGTACAGCGTCTTGGGCAAATAGTCTGAGGTCTGTCCCCTGCCACCCGAGGTATGTTCCCTTGCTGCCCGAGGCCTGTGGCCTGCCGCCCGAGGTCTGTGCCCTGACGCCTGAGGTCTGTCCCCTGCCCCCTGAGGTCTGTCCTCTGCCATCTGAGGCCTGTGCCCTGCCGCCCGAGGTCTGTGCCCTGCCGCCCGAGGTCTGTGCCCTGCCACCCGAGGTCTGTCCCCTGCTGCCCGAGGTCTGTCTCCTGCTGCCTGAGGTCTGACCCCTACCGCCAGAGGTCTGTCCCCTGCTGCCTGAGGTCTGACCCCTGCCGCCCGAGGTCTGACCCCTGCCGCCCGAGGTCTGTCCCCTGCCGCCCGAGGTCTGTCCCCTGCTGCCCGAGGTCTGACCCCTGCTGCCAGAGGTCTGCTCCCTGCCGCCAGAGGTCTCTCTCCTGCTGCCTGAGGTCTGACCCCTACCGCCTGAGGTCTGTCCCCTGCCACCCGAGGCCTGTGCCCTGTTCCCCAAGGTCTGTCCCCTGCCACCCAAAGTCTGTGCTGTGCAGAAGGACACCAGCTCCAAGTTCCCTGGAGCTGCCTTTTTAAGATTAAGCAACTCCGAATGTGTAACAATTGGCAGAAATTTAAAATGTTCCTCCATTTACATTACAGACAGATGAATACTTAGAATCCACCTAAAAATACTCCGTAGCCCTGAACGTGACTGGGATCACTCCCCCCACCCCACCCTTCTGCTCCTCTTAGGAATTTATCCAAATGAGCCACCCGGCTGTGGGATGTTCAAGGCACAGGAGCCTGGAATGCCGTAGGGGAGCGCATGCGGCATTGTTGGCAAATGATGAAAAAAAGGTGCTGTTGGGAAACACTGCGGAGCACAGGGGGTCGATGGAACGAGGGGCTGATGCCGCTTCTGCTGGTAACTGGGACCAGGGGCCCTTCCGCAAGAGCGGCCTGTCCTGGTGGTTCCATCAGGCTTTTGGGGGGCTGCTGGTCCTGGCCAGCCAGTCCGATCTTGCCCCAGGGCAGCAAGGGAACAGAGCCCACACGCGGGATGACCTCACACAGGCCTGGAAAGCTGCCGTGGCCATCCTGTGCCCGCTTCCCCCACTGCCAACACAAACAGCCAGGTATCGTCACCAGCTCCAGACACCCACGCCTTTTTTTTCTTATTAGATCTGGGGTGTAGACCAGAGGTGGGCATGTGAGAGGATTCACCAGAGACAGAGTGGGGAGCAGAACAGGCAGATCTACTGAAATACATTACTAAGGGGAGCAGCGGGCAAGACAGGAGAGGTCTGCTGTGCCACATGGGGGCTAGCTCCCTGGCTGCGGGTTGAACTCAAGCCCATAGCAGGTAACAGCACTGAGACTTAACCCCAGGCCACCAGGGCCCACCTCCCCCCCAAGCCCACTTCTTCTGACCCTGGACATGTGCTTTGTCAGAATTCCTCATGGCCACCTCCTGGGGTCTCGGCCTCACTTCTGCAGCCTGTGGGCTTTGGCCAGGTCCAGCTGGCACAGGACACTTGTCACGAGGGCCACTGGCTGTTCCTGCCAGCTGCCACGAGCTCACCTCACCACTCCCACACTCCCTTGTGCACACTCGGCTGCCTGAGGCCAGCCTGGCTTCTGGGCTCAGTGACCCTGAGCTGACCTTACACAACCCTCAGCTTCCGGGGTGGGAGGGAACAGCAATGACACAGCTGTGGGTGGCCCTGGACTGGCGATACTGGCCTTGGAGCCAAGGTAGCTCCTCTGGCCTGGCCGTGGGGAATAATGGCCACACCTTCCATGCTTTTCTTCACCTTGGAAGCAGTTTTGTTGACCTCAGGGGCTCCTAATATTTTAATCACCTTGGCACATTCAGAAGTTAAAAATGGGTCTCAACCTCTTGCCCAAGGGCTTCCTAAAATCCCACAGATCAGCAGATCCCCAAACACCAACCCAGGGGACATTTTGATCTCACCTTTAATGGCCCATTTAGCTTTTTTTTTTAAAAAAAGATTTATTTATTTATTTTATACAAGAACTGGGGTACAGGACAGATGTGCGGGAGGGTGAGAGGATTCACTGGAGACAGAGTGGGAAACAGAACAGGCAGCCTGACTGAAATACACTGCTGAGGGGAGCAGCGGGAGCGACCCGTGGGCCCCTCGCAGGCCGGCTGGGATCGAACCAGCACTGCAGAGGCTGCGGACAGCTTCACAGCGCGGCACTCAACCACCTGCGCCACCAGGGGAGGCCCCCATTCAGCTTTTGACACTGAAACAGGAGCTGCCATTTTTACTTTCATGTTTGCCTTTTGTCATTACTCAATCTCTCCCCCTTCCAGGCCATGTGTAGACAAACAGGATTGCACGAAACAAAATACCGATGTATGAAACTCCCCCGGGCCCTTCCTTTACCTGTAAGAGAAGGGGAGGTGACAGCGAGGTCCCCTCCGGAAGTAAAACTCTTTTGAGGAAGGGGCTGTGCGCCTCAAGGGTGTGGGGGCAGGGAAAAAGGCTGAGAACTGCTCGAAGGAAAACAGATGTCACTCTAAAAGGGCCTCTGAAAAGTTTCAACAATAGATGAAATATTTACAGCAGAACGGCGTCTGAGGAGTGATGTGACGGGAAGGAGGTCAGAGGACAGGACCAAGGCTGGACGATCACAGAGCAATAAAACTGGGGACACTAATAATACACTAAGTGGGGTTTCTGAGGTTAGAGGGAGGGGGAGAAAGAAAGGGCCAAGGGCCTGAGGGAGGTGGCGAGGAGAAAAAGTGAGAATTGTGAATGCATTGAAGGGGGCCAACGAGCATGACTCTGCAAAAAGATAGATTACAAGGAAATCATTTCGACAACGACAAGCAGCAAAGTGAATCCATCCATCTAACGCAATTTTCTTGTGCCCTCAGTAGATACTGCTGTGCTGGTGATTTCCAGAAACATTTTTTCTCTGAATTGTCGGTAAATGTTCGACAACATACTAAATAGAAAAGAGTAACTAGGAGAGAAAATTCCTCGTGGGCGAGAAGCACACAGGCGGGGACCCCCAAGTCCAGCTCTGGGATCTGAGCGAACTGACATTCCGTGCCTCAGTTTCTCCATCTGTGCAGGAGGTTGCCCTTACACCTTCTTCCCAGGTGAGTGGGCAGTTAAAGGATTGATTCTGGAAAGAGTTGAGCAGCCCCTGACTCAGAGCAAGACCTCAAGAAATGGTCCAACTTAGTATTATTCTGCCCACTATATGTCCAGTGATATTTCAAACAGTTTTAGAACCACTGATGTTCTGGAATTGTTAGTAATTTTGTTTTCTTTTGCTGGCTATTTGCCTAACCTGAGGCTGTTTAAATGTTTCACAGTAGGCTTTTTCTTGACATTTCTGACAGTGAAAGACCCTTTGGACACATCCCTTTCCCCCCGAGGGTACGGCTGCCTTACAGTGAAGAGTGTGTCTCTACGGAAGGTGCTCATCTCTGCCTTTCACTTGGGAGTTGACACCGTCACGTATTCTCCGACGCTCTGCAGCCTCATCTGCTGCTCATTTCCTCCTGACTCCCCACACGGCTCATTCCCCTGGCAGTGCATTCCCAGATGCTTTCCCCCATCGCGGAGTGCCAACAGCGCGGAATGACTTTCCAACAGAACCAAGTGTGGTTAATAATTGAGCACCATCACGCATCTCCAGCACGCCTGCTGTTCTTCCTCCAAGAAGCTCACGCCCCACGTAGACAGGTCTGGGAGGAAAGTCCTCCTTCAGGAGGTACCTGGTTGAATGTCTTAGAGGAGCAGGAAGAAAATGCTCCCCAAGCCCCCTGGCAGGGCTGGAGGGGCACTTGGAAACCAAGCCTTGCCAGGATGGCCGGGAAACAGGCAGGAGAGACCTTCTCTCCTTAACCTCCACCACAGGCCTATCTGGTCTCCCAGACCGGGTCTATGGCTGCAGATAAAACAGTGGGGTCCAGAGGGAGATGGTCTTGCCTTCTTCTGTTAGTTCCAGGAATTCTAAGGACTCTGCTGTCTGGGAGATGAAGGCTTCCGGTAGTGCCCATCTTACTCAAAGCTGCAGTCCTCACAGTGATGTCTCAGCCCTGCACCCTCCAGCCCCACGGCTTCCTTCCTCATCCAACAAGCAGAGACACTCTGTCTCAGGGCCTTTGCGCTTGCTATTCCCTCTGCCTGACCTCACAGCTCCCTCCTCTACTTCCTGTGGTGTCTGTTCAGACAGAAGCACTGGGCAGGCCCTCTGGGACCTTCGGGGCCAGGATGCAAGGGGTGGTGGGAGGCACTGGCCAGAGACCGCGCCGCAGCCAGGGGTGAGGGCTGTCATGTATTCTCTGACACTCTGCAGGCAGGAGAGCGCCGGCCCAAGCCACGCAGGGTCTGCTGCGTGACCTCAGCGCTGCCACCGGTACATCAGGGTGCCCAAACACGAGGACCGGATGACCTGTGGTCTGTACAGGGCTTGAAAGCTGTGCCTGGCACAAACAGGGCATGAACATTTGTTAAGTAAATAAATACCTTTGCGTTCCAAAACAAACAAGGGAAGGAACAGGAAGGGCTTCCTCGGAGGACAGGATCTGCCCACTCCATCCTGCTCTGGGAAAAGGATCTGATTTCACTCTGAACCGCTTCGACCCTGCTGGGGATCAGGATGTCCTGAAACCTGTCGCCAGGGAGCGGCAGTTTGGGGGTGCCAGTCTCCCCCAGCAGGTGGCCTTTCTTCATCGGCTATCGCTGGTCCCTGCTGCGGCATGACTCTTAGGATGCAGTAAGCCACACGTGGGCTCTTGAAGGAAACACACCTGTACTCGCCTTGTTCTTGCCCTGCTGGGGACCTTCCACCAGGTGGGGCGGGGGCTCGGCTCCACTCAGCTCAAAGGCACAAATTCGGTTTTCACCTGGGCTCCCAGGTCTTCTTCCAGGTTGTGGGGTACACCATGGTGGGGTCCATGGCCAAGTGCAGGGATATCTGGGCCCCATCCAGGGCCTCCTGTGAGCTCTGGATTCACCTGCTGGATGCTGAACCGCGGCATCCACCCCTGACCACCTCCCTTTCCACAGCAGTTTATACAGACACCCTGTCTGCCTCGGAACAATAAGTGGCCCTCGTAAGTGAAGAAGTGAGGAGACAACTGCCCGTTAGGTGCCAAGCTCTTGCTGTTACGTGTATGCATGTTGCAGGGGAGGGGTTTGAGGACACAGAGCTGGGGGGTTGCTGAAATGGTCTCAAGAGGCCTAACTGTGACCCCACGTGGGGAAGAGGCCTCTGCACCACGACCACGTGCACACAGAAGACACTTCTGTAAACGCTAATGACCCTTCAATTCCAAATTTGAGAAACTCTGGGGAAGGGCCCAAACAAAGAGCAATTTTTATTTTCAGCTTTATGATATTTTCGTTCTGACATTCCATGTATAATATTGGCGTGGCTAAGGTCATTTGTGGTTATTTAGGAGGGAAAAAGAAACACTTGTTTTTCACTAGTGACTACAAACTGGGAACCCGGTGCAGTGTCTACACCATGGAATCTCCTACTTGTGGGTGAAGTGAGGGTGTTGGCAGGCGAGGGGCTGAGAGTGTCAGGAAAGAGAGAAGAGAGTGGTTTATAAAAAGGACAGGAAAATCATTCCCTGCCCCCAAACATCTGTCCATGTGTGCTGGTTTTCAACCTTGGCTGAACATTAATCCCTTGGGGAGTTCACAAAAAATCTTGATGACCAGGTCACATGCGCTAGACAGATGTTTAGTTGTTTTTCTTCTAAAGTCAGCCAGTTGAATCAAAAGCCAAATGTTGCACATGTTTCTAAAGGTCATATCGGTCTCGTCGGGGGCAGGGTGGACTCTGTGGGCCACATGGTTGCTGTGGCACCTGCGCTCTCTGCAGCCTGAGCCAATGTAGATGTAACACACACGTGCGCATGGCCCTATGCTGATAAAACTTTATTTACAAGAACAGATGGAGGTCGGCCTGGCCCTGGAGTTTGCCTGTCCCTGATCTAGAGGAGGTGGGCTTTGCTTTTCTTTCTTTTCTGTTCTTCTCTTTTCTCTTTTCTTTTCTTTTCCTTTTTTCCCCAAAGATATTTTATTATATATATATATTTTTTATATCATTTTTCATTTTTGTACAACGTATGCATTTTCATCTCAGTTATAGTCCCCGTGAAATTCCCTGATGGGGCTTTTCTAAATCCCTCCTCTGACAGCTCTGTATTTCCCCTCCCAATGCAAGAATCCTCCATTTGCAAATCCATTCACCAAAATCACACCAAAATGACCCAGCAGGCATGTGAGGGGGGGAGGTGAAAACACTGAGTCCCAGTAAGGGGCTCAGTCCACTCATTTCCTTTATGTTTGAGTATTTCCCCAGATGCCAAGTTTAAAATATGACGTTTTCTGTAAAGACAGGAAAGCCCCCGAAACACACAGCACAGCCACGGGAAGGGTCTGGTGGGGGAGTGGAGGGGATACTCACGACCAGTAGAGCAGCATGAGCAGGAAGGGGCAGATGATCAGGGCCTGCAGCACCTGCCAGTCCCGGCACAGGGCGGCCAGGCCGGGCATGAGGAACTGGCCGGCCATGGCCACGAAGCTCGCCACCATTGTGATCATGAACCGTTTTCCCGGGGGACACAGCTCTATTCCTGCAACACAGAAGAGACAAGGGAGACGTGAGTGCCCTATGGAGTGGGGAGCCACCAGCGCCCCGAGCCTTCCCTCCTGGCTCTTACAGTGGGGTGAGCCAGGCCCCCACTGCACTCAGGCTCACAGAGCAAGTGACACAGAGCATGAGACTCTGATTATTCTGAGCAGCCCTGAGCTAGGACGTGCTGCCTCCCCGGAGGTACAGTTCTCAGCCCATGTAGCCCCCTCTGCTCCAGGGGGGTCCCTGCTCCCGCCTTGCCTGCTGCCATCCCTCCTACCTGTGATGCAGCACAAAGGGCCACTCTTCAGTTCAGGGCAGGCAGCCTGTCCTCCGGCTCACCCCACCCCTGCCCCACCCGCCTCTGGCCCCAACTCCAAGCCCCTGGGGACCCCGAGTTCTAGGCACAGCGAGCATGATAGACGGAGCAGCTTATCTGCTTGGACAGAAACCAAACAACAAAACAGATTCAGATCACATAGTCGTGGTCTCCCCAGAAGCTCTCCTCCGCACTGAGGTTCTGCCCTGTGGGACAGGGGCACGGCTGCACCCTGTTCTCTGTCCCTGTCCCAGACCATGCCCTCGCAGGGGCATGCCGGCTGCACCTCCAGCTCCAGAGCCAGACCAGTGTCTGCCTTTGCCAACATCCACGGGATGGAAGGACACCACGGTCCCTCCTGTCTGCGAGAATCTGTGCTCCTCATTTGACCTTGAGTGATAAGGACGATCACAAGACAAACCAGTGCCAAGTGCTGACCAACACAGAGCCCCGGCTTGAGTCCCCCTGAGAAGGTCCTTACTAGAAGGCGCAGCTGGGGTTTGCTGTTCCTTTGCAGTAGGCAGCATTAAGGATACTTTCTTTTTCTTTCCTTTTTTTTTTTTTTTAAGATTTATTTATTTATGCAAGAGCTGGGGTACAGACTAGAGTTGTGAGGGGATGTGTGACAGGATTCACCAGAGACAGAGTGGGGAGCAGAACAGGCAGATCTACTGAAACACACCGCTGAGGGGAAAAGTGGGGAGACAGGAGAGGTCTGCTGCGCCATGTGGGTAGCTCCCCGGCAGGGATCGAACTCATGCAGAAGTGGCTGCAGATGGCCTCTTAGTGCTGCGCCTTAACCCCTTGTGCCATTAAGCAGACAAGTAGACTGGCAGCTCTGGGAAGGGGTCCCTGCCTTAGCCCACGTGAGCACAGCACCCTGAGGCTCCCCACAAGCTGTGTGGGGTGGGCACATAAGCGCCTGCCCCCCCAGGGAACCGTCAAAGTCAGAGATGACTTCAGAACAGCATCTCGGATTTGCAGGTACAACAGGCTCTGCCTACCGCTGTGCCCCCCACTTCCCTCTACTCAATCTCATGAAACAGTAAGCGGGGAAACACCTCAATTCTCTTGCCACAGGGGCCCTCTGGCATGATTAATCCCAACTTCTGATCCACCCATAATGGGTATCACACAGGGGATCAGGGGCTGCTTCCCAGACGGAGGGGTGGCGGTTTGCAGAGGACAAAGGAAAATCATTCCTGGACGGCGAAGAGCCCCAGACCAGAACTCCCCGAGTCCCTACTGCAGATGCGAGGCTGTGATGGCGCATAAATCAGAGTCACTGTGTGCACGACGATTAGTGCGAGTCAGCTTTCCTCCTGCAGGGTTCTCTGTCCAGAGCACGGCTCAGAGAGGCCCTGGCTCCTGGCACGGGCTTGGGCAGCAGCCGCAGCCCTGGGAGCCAGCTGGAGACACAGGCGCCAGAGTCGGCACCTCATCAGATGCTCAGAAACCACCGGCTGCCACGCAGCCCCAAAGCGTGTAATCCCCCCCAGACACACCGCTACGAGCACGGAATACGGAACACCCTCTCTGCCGCTCCACTGCTGCTCTTGCTAGAAACCCTAGCAGGGCTTTTCTGTTGCAGATAGAGAAATGTCAACCCCTCCAGCAGATGGAAGAAGGGGTTTTACTTTGTGTTCCTGTCGGGGCGATAGGAAAACAAAGCCGGTTACGTGTGGAGCAGGTGTGACACCTGCAGGTTGTAACCTTTCGGCACTGACTCACCAGAGGTTCTTTCCAAACCGAATCCACCCACTGCATTCTGAAGGTGGCTCTAAAGATGTTGAAAAGGAGGAAAAAAAGCAATTATCAAAGAACTGCAGGCGCTTTTGGCTCACCATGGAGCACACGTGTCTTTTGGAGGAGGAGAAATCAGCTTTGCAGCAGTGGCGGGGAGGAAGGCATACATCAGAACACGACGGCTCCGACCCAGCTGCTCCAGGGTCTGCTGCTCCGAGGGCTGCCCCCAGCCATGCAGCAGTGGGGACTGCGGAGACGCTTCCAGCTCCTGGCCGGGGTTGCTGACATGGGAGGCACAAGGTGGGGATCCTGCACCAGCCACGGGACATCCCAAAGCTATGTCACATCTTTTCAGAGCCACATTTTTGCCAACAGAGCCAACCCAAGACACCTTAGGAGAGTTTTACTTTCAGTACCCCCCGCCACGTCCCCCTTCATTATGTAAAGCAGAGAAGAGTCCTAAGACTATCATTCTAGGGCCTCCCTGATGGTGCAAAGGGTTAAGACGCAGCACTATGAAGCTACCCGCAGCCACTGCGGCATGAGTTCGATCCCCGGCCAGACAGGGATCAACCCACATGACATAGTAGACCTTTCCTGTCTCGCCCGCTGCTCCCCTCAGCAGTGTATTTCAGTCAATCTGCCTGTTCTGTTCCCCACTCTGCCTCTGGTGAATCCTCTCACCCCCCACCCCCACCTCTGGCCTGTACCGCAGTTCTTGTATGCATAAATACATCTTTTTAAAGATTAAAAATAAATAAAACTATCATTCTAGATTCAAACATAAAGTTATTTCCTGTTGTGGGCCCCGTCCAGACCTCTGAAATCGAGGTTACCAGGCCTGGACTGTGGAGGTGAGGGTCTGGGTTCAATTCCCGTCCTTGCGACCTCGGATCGGTCATCTCTGCGTTCGGCGCCTCTGTCCCGTGTGCAATGGGCCGCGAGCACGGAGCACGAGCCAGGGGTTAGCATTTACCTAACATCATGTATGAAAACCACATGTAGTAAGTTTCTGCCAAGTCACACGTTGGTTTCACCTAACCTGTGTTATTCCCCGGATCTGCGGAGCTTCGGGGCAGGACGGAGGTTTGTTCTAATGGACTAGAAAAGCGTGATCACTTCGTGGTGACTCATACTCCTTCTTTGCTGGTGATTCTCTTAGAACGAGAAATGATCTGGCAATGAAGCAGCAGAACTAAGGGGCTCCAAGAAAACCACATCCCAAACCCCTATCGTGAAAGCGGCTGCCCCTCACGCCTTCCCGGGGGGCTTCAGAGCTATTTCCGCAGCTGAATACACACTGCTGGGCGGAGACAGCGCCAGGGCGGGAGAACAAACAGCACGTGTTGACACGGAACCGGGTGCTTGGCTTGTGATAACGGGGGCCCTCGGCTGCGCAAGCACGCATAGCCGGGGACCCGGGGTCCCTCTGTGAGGTGTTGCAATGCGGGTTCGGGGTACAAATTCTTTTAGGATTCCTGAGTCTGGCAAGGTTTTTCAGAAGTTTTCTTTTTTTCTTTTCTCTTAAGATTTATTTATTTATGCATACAAGAACTGGGAGCAGGCCAGAGGTGCGGGAGGGTGAGAGGATTCACCAGAGACAGAGTGGGGAGCAGAACAGGCAGACAGACTGAAATACACTGCTGAGGGGAGCAGCAGGTGAGACCGGAGAGGTCTGCTGTGCCATGTGGGTAGCTCCCTGGCCGAGAATCGAACTCATGCTGCAGAGGCTGCGGATAGCTTCATAGGTTAAGTCTTAACCCCTTGCACCACCAGGGAGGAACCAGTTTTCTGATTCTTATGCACCTTCAGGATGAGATGCCCCAGGGGATGCCCCAGGGGAGCATGACCAGAGCCCGGGGCCCACTCAGCCGCACAGCTGGTTCTTGCAGGGCCACTTTGCTGAGTCGCTGCAGCCATGGCTTCCAGCTACTCAGCCAGGCCAAGGGCTGACATTCAGCTCCAGTCCACCTCAGCTGACTTTATGTTAGGAACATGTCCTAGATAATTGGGGCGGGTGCTCTGATCAGTTGCAAGGCCATAAAAACAGAACCCAGGCTTCCTGGAGGAAGAACACACTCCACTTTGAGTGGCAGCTTCACCCTGCGTCCCGCAGCCCCTGGGATTCCAGACCTGCCGACTTGCCTGCACAACAGCGCTCGTGTCGCTGTGCAGGAAAGTCTTACTGTGATTCTCCTCCTGGCTTCCTGCACCTGTACCAGGTCACGGGGCCCCCCAGGAAGCTCTGTCTCAGGAGCTTCCTGCCCAGAGGGACTGCACTGTCCCTCCACCTCCATCCTGCTTCCCTGCCCAGGCCGCCCTGGACAGATGCCCGCCTCAGGGCTATGGCTGAGCTCAAGGGGCAGCCTGGCCAGAACCCATGGCTGGCACAGCTCTGCTCCCCTTGTCAACCTTTGATGGGGTCCCCAGATTAAACAGGACCCAGCCTCAGCACCTGCCAGCAGAGGGGAGCTCGGCAGAAAGTTGGAAGCTGAAGTGCAGGGGAGAGACATGAAGATAAAGTTCAGAGAGGATTTTGTAAATTCTACAAGAGGAAGAAAACAGCGAGGGAGCTTTTATCTTTGGGGAGCAAGAAGTTCAGGGGGCAGGCTCTGGTACCCTGGGAATATAAGGGCAATCTGAAAAGGGAGTGCACTGGGGAGCTCCCCAATCCCATGAGCTCACAAGCTGGGGTACAGGGGGTGTATTTCTAACACCCCCTGCCTGGAAGTAGCATCAAAGCACAAAGAGCAGAAATGAGCCAAATGGCTGCGAGGCCGACAGGTGGGAAGTTGCTGAGGCCCAGGTGGCTCCATCGCTGACTCCAGCCTCCCTGAGACCCCCGGACGAGGAGCTGTGGGCATGGCCCAGTGACCCCGTACCTGTGGGGCAACTGGCTTCTTGGGAGGTGGCATGAGAGGCTGCTCCAGAGGGAA